TGCAGCGGCCGCCGCTGCCGACGCCGCTGCCGACGCCGCCGCCGACTGACCCCGGAGGCTGCTGGAGCTTGGCGCCGCAGCCAGCGCCTCGCGGCTGCGCCGAGGCTTGGCAGCCGCCGGATCGCGCAGCATCGCGTACATGGTCGTCGACAGAGCGTTCACGCGCTCGTTGAGCTTCTTGACCTGCGTCTCCAGCGTCTGCCGCACCGCGCGCTCCGACTCGAGCTGCGCCATGAGCTCCGCCGTGCTGCCGTCGTTGCCGGCATTCAGCTGCGGCAGGCTCGTCGCACCGCGGACAGTCGATGTCGATGTCGGCCGCAGAGCAGGCGAGTGGCTGCCACCAGTCGGTGCGAGGGGCGCGCCAGCACCGCCGACGGGGGCCATGATGGACTGCGCCTGTGTAGCCGAGCTGGATGGTGGGTGCAGCGACCCGATGTACGTCTGGCCATCGCCAAACGACATGTGCGACTGCTGCAGGTCCGAGTCGAAGGAGTCCACCGAATGCTCTGAGCGACGGCTGTTGCTGTAGCGCGAAGACGACGCAAACGGCGTGGCCGCCTGCGCCTGGTAGATGGCTGGGATCGGTGGAATCGCCGGAGCTCCGCTCAAGTCGTCAGGGAATGGGGGCACCGATCGTGGAACCTGCTCTGCACTTGCATCCGACGTCTCTTTGTCTTTGTACCCGGGGACCGTGTGGCACAGCTGGTCGACCACGCGCTCCATGCGATGCATGCGCGTCTCGAGACCGCCAATGCGGGAGTCCATGCTATTGGCCTGCGTGATCTTCATCGGTCCCGTGCCAATGCTGGACAGGTTTCCAAATAGAAACGGCTGAGGAGACGCCGTCGCCGGCTGCTGCGTTCCCTTCCGGCGCTCGCCGTCTTGTTCAGTGGGAGAATCAATCGGCGAGTCCGGCAGGCTCTGCAGGAGGGACAGGTTGCCTGTCAGATCATCGTCGCCGCCGTGGAAGGCAGCACCGTCCGTGCCATGTTGCTTGTCGCGTACACCGCGGACGTCGCCCTGATACCCCGTCCCAGCATTTGGTCTGTCCTCATCGTCATCTTCGTCCCGATCGTTGCCCGTATCGTGGGTGGATGACAGTGGCGACAGGAAGGCTGGGTCATAGCTCTCGCGCCAGTACCGGATCTCGTCGTTGCGGCCACGAGCTTGACCCTGGTCAAACGACAAGGCGTGCAGATTCGAAAGCGACCGGGACCGCCGTCTGCTGCCACCATCGTTGTTGGCATCCAGGCTGTCCCGGCCGTTGGACGTAATGGCGCGACCGATCTCGTTGGGGTCAGCCGCTGTACCACTTCCATTGCGACCGGCAACGCCGGCAGCGCCAAACAAGCTGAACCCCGTGCCCGTGCCCAGGCCCAATCCGCCGCTTCCCGAGCCACCGGCACCGCCTGTGGCCCAGTTACGACCAAGAGCACTGCTGGCGCTCCCACTGACAATATCCGAGCCGGACAGGCGTTTTTGGCTCTTACGGCCCTGTGCACTGGCCGGCCTTGGAGATAGACCTGTCCACCCGCTGCCACTCAGGATGTTGGCATACGTCTCGCTCTTGTTGTTGAAGCGTCGCCGTCCAGCCTTACTTTGTTGTGAGAAGAAAGGGCGGTTGGCCGATGTTGTAGCACGGCGGCCGCCACCGCTGCTGTCCTCCATTCCTGCATTTTCATCGGGTCCACGATCGACCTGGAGAGAGTTCCGTGCGCTATCCGTGGCTAGGATCCCGTCGGGGCCGATGGAGTGCGATCGCAGGGCACGGTCGTACTCCGTTATAGGAAGTGAGGCTGAGCGTTTCGGTTCGCTGTCCCGCGGCCGACCGAGCACCGTGGGGTCAGAACGCACACTACGGTGTTGCAATGCGGGCTGCTGCTGCTGCTGCTGCTGCTGTTGCTGTTGCTGCTGTTGTCGATATTGGAAGCCCTGTTGGGAATCGTCCATATCATGTGCGTTGTTGTCAGGGTCTGCGGCAATGGTTGGCAAAATCTGGCTGTCGGTTTTCTTGCGGCGACTAAACAGCTTACTGAACGCGCCCCGCAGCGTTGACTTCTTCCTCTTCGGGCTGCCGCTCACTGTGTTTCCGGCACTGGTACCGGCGCCGCCAGATGACATGCCGCTGGCGGCCGAGTATCGCAGCGTGCTGGACGGGTTTGTGCGGTGGCGGAAGGCTGGCGACGAAGCCGAGTTGGCAGCGCTCACGGTGCCACTTGCTCGAGTGCTGGACACGGCACTTGGCCCGGCACTGAGAGGGGGTGGACTTGAGCCTGACGACTGCGCAGGTTGCTTGAATGAGCTCGGCTGATCTTGTGGAAGATTGAACTGGAGCTGTGGCTGGCTCTGTGACGACGCTGGGGGTGCTGTGGGGTCCGGGAGCGGAAGCTGCGGTTGTTGCAGCTGTTGTGGCCGTGACGAGAGATCGGCCGTCGGTATCCGTCTGTGCCCGATTGTGTAAGCGGCAGCTGGTCTGACTTTCGGGGATTGTAACGATGGCATAGGTTCTGCAGAGTCCGCCGCTTCACCGTCGCCCTGGTCGACATCATCTTTTGTGGGCTCAGAACCAGTGGCTACTTCGAGCTCCGTGATCGAAGCTACACCTTCGCCAGCTTCTGCGACTTCTTTTTCCTCCCCTTCTACATGACCCCCTTCCTTCGCGTCTCCTTCTTCCGCGTCTACAGTCGCCTCTGCACCTGCGCCTGCACCTTCGTCTTCATCAGCGTCTTCATCAGCGTCTTCGTCAGCAGCTTCGTCAGCGGCTTCATCTGCTGACATGTCAACCTCGGAGTTCTCCAGGTCTTCGGAAAACGCGCTGACAACGGGCGGCGGCGGCGGCGAAGCACGGGTTGGCGGTGGTGGCGGAGTAGGCAAAGCGGAGTCTGGATCCGGTACAGTGACCTCCTGAGCTGGGACCGGTGCTGGAGTTGCAGCTGCAATCTCACTTGATGCCGGTGTGTCGAGCGGGTCGGGGAAAGGGATTGGTGCCGAGATGCGGCCGCGGATCGACTGGCGACTTGGCTTGGCCGTGGCTTGCACCGGACTCGAGGGAGTAGCCGATTTGAAAAATGTTGCTCTCTTCATGTTGCAGTCGAGTTGAGACCGGCCAGGTATGAAACGTGAAATAAAAAAATGACGAGACAGGACAAGAAAGGGCAAGAAAGGCCGAGTCTCAAGAGAGAGTTTATGTGACGAGTGGGCAGAGGATTCTCGAGAGGCTGCTCAAGACAATGAGTCCATGAGGGGTGCCTGAAGCCAACTACCAAAGCGTCCCGTCGAGTGTAAATATAGAATGAAACGGCCGGTCCTTTGTAGCGGATCTGTGGCCGCTGGCAAGAGACGAGGAATGTCTGGCTCTCCCAACCGGAGGAGCGCTCTCCTCTGTTGTCCTCTTACACCTCGTCCCGTCGTGTGGTGCTGCACGTCATTTGTTGACGAAAGCTTGCTGTCTGAGAAACAAGAAAAGGGCAGCGTAGATCGACGATCGCGTACGGACAGTCACCGCGACGTGAAGTAAACGACAACGGAAAAGTAACGCGAGAGCCGAGGGAAAGACTAGACAAAAGGCAGAAAATGTCAAATGGAATGCAGTTAATGCACCGTTCTGGCAGAGATTCTATCAATTTTGTCTCGGGCGGTCCTTGGTGACGGAAGGGAGAATGAGACGGGTGGTTGATCGCCCGCCTTTTCCGTAAATAGAGTGTAAGGGGTACCGGTTGATGCGTGATGCGTGCTGCGTGATGCGTGATGAGCGACAACGGCGACGGAGAATTAAAGAACAAAAGTAAAAGAATGACAGTGGCGGAATGATCTTGGTCGAACCAGCGGTAGATACCCAAGAAAACAAAATCAAAAATCAAAAAGGCAAGCGAGTGTCGGAGAAGATAAGAAAGCAAAGCAAAGCAGAGACGAAATACAAGGCGGCCAGCAAGGGAAAGTACAATGGCTACAAGAAAGCGGGAGGCGAAAAATAATAAAATGGAAAAGGCATTAAAAGAAAAGAGAGTGCGTGTCACAGAAAGCAAATGCAAGAAGGGGTAAAATAAGAAAAAGAGAGGGACGGAGGGGAGCTATTCGTCGAACAACAATTAGAAGAGAAAGAGAGACATAGAAAAAGAAAAAAAAGGAATAAAAAGCTGTCATAGGGGTGGCACTTGGGCAAAGCAATCCTGGGCACAGCATCACGTATCGTATCGAGTACGTGCTCCGTGCTGACCAGCACCTGCGACGGTGTTCGATCTGGGGGTGTGTGGGTAAGAGATTTATTTAGGCGTGCTGCTCTGACGAAACGGAAGCTGCAAAAAGGCCAAAGAGGGGAGCTCTAGGCCGGATGGACGTTGAAGACTACCCTTGTCGGCAACAAGCCAAGCCCGGCGAGTCTGGGTCAAGAAAAGAAACGGAGGAGGGGGCGTGGATGCTTTCGTCGATTTCGTGCGTGTATGTAAGTATCCCGTACACTACACTTGGAACGACGAACGGGGTAATCGACCGAGAGCAAAGAGCAGAGCAGCGTGTAGAACAGAACAAAAGAAAAGGTCTACGGCTGTCTGGAGATGCAATACGGTCTGAGTCGGGACCAGGACGAACAGCCCGCCCAGAGAAAGCCGATAGCTCAGAGCAATAAAAGGCATAAAAAAGACGGGCCGTTCGTGTTGTTCAGGGAAACGTGCAGTTCGGGTTGCATCTAGACGTGCGTGGTTTTGTACAGATTGCCCTTGCAGAGATTGTCTTCCGTGCCTGTCATCGCTCTGAAATAGATAACGTCCCTTGTTTTGTCGGGCAGCAGCAGCAACTCTCATCCTATTGTATTCTGTGATTGCTGACTTTGTATTTTGCTTCGATGTGGCCGGCGGTTGAAATTCATCAGCGGCCATGCAGGGACGGAAAGCCACGCCATCCGCATCCGTCAGACATTGCTGTTTCCGTGCTCTCCACCCAGGACTGGACAGCATGTCGACAACACATCTGGCGAGCTTGCAAGGAGGACACAGGCCACATCCATGAAACAACCGAGTGGCTCCAATGGCGGGCCCAGGAAGGTTACGAATGGAGATCGTCAAGTACTGTCCCTGAAGAAGACGACTCGAGGAGCCATTTTTGGCAGCAATGGAACTCTGGGATGCGGTCGCGAGTGGCTCAGGGGGCGTGTTTGGTGGGCTAGCAGAGTCGCAGAGTTGCTTTCTGGATGGGGACAGACAGGAAAGGGCAAAGGCGTGCAGTTGTGACAGGGGTATGGGGGGATAGTTTGGGCAAGCGAGAATAGGTCAAAAGGTCTGCACGGAGCCACAGCACGCCCAGAACCCCCATCAAGGAACTGAGTCTTCAGAGCGGTGCAAAAACAACCCAAGCAAAAAAGGGGATGCTGTTTTCGGGGGGGACACAAAGTGGCGGTGGGGTTTTGGGTTGAGAGTTGGTGTGTGTGGAGATGGGTCGGCAAGACGGCGGTCGACGGCGGTGCATCCATAGCCAAGCATCAAGTGTTGGACGTCGAGGAGACAGGACGAAGACAAGAAGACAAGAGAGTGAAAAGGCCGAATGAAATGTCACAGCCAGTGCCTGTCCACCTCAGAGTTCCATCCGATGCACGATGCAGCCATTAAAACGTGTAATCGAGCGAGTCTTTACGTACCGGCGGCTGCCCACGGCGTGGCCATCCGGAAAAGTAAATTGCGAGGTGCCGGAGACAAAACGTTGACAAACGGCGACGACAAACGGCGACGACAAACGACAGGGCAGAATGGCAATCCGCGTGGCGTGCTGTTTACTTTCTCGGGTACGACTCTGAAGAGACAGATGCGCCATTTGTTTCGAGTCTGCTTTGTCTGCTTTGTCTGCCTTGTGTGCTGGGTCTCCCGTGCGTGTTGATGTTCCCATCCTTTCCGTATCTTGTATCTTCTTGTATCTAACTTGTCTCGCCTGCATATCTCGACATGGAACTGAAGCGGAAGACGTTCCTCTTTCGCATGGAGAACTAGTGCTTCAGTCTGTTGCTGCGAACAGACGTTTGTCTTTTCTAATTGTGCCTCGCGGGGCCGCGACTGGGAGCTTCGGGGACGTCAGAGGGTCGAGGGCGTGTGTGCGAGGGCGGATCTGTTGTGCTTTGGTGTTGGTGTGTTGCGAAGTTTTGGCTTCATCTTGATTTCGGCTTTGGGACCCTTTTTTGCTTGGAGCTTTGTTGACTCGTGCAACACGATAGCTCCTTCTCTCGCAATGCTACTGGTTACGATGTTCAAAAGTTAAATAAAGAAGGCGGTGGGGTTGTATTGCACTAGACAAGAGCATGCAGGCAGGTAGCATGGGATGCGCCTTCTCCTTTTGTGTACGTGCAGCAACCTCATGTACGGCGCAAATGAAGGGGAAGGCTAAGACGGCAAAAGAGAGTAGTGCACCGCTCTTTCCTCTTTCCCCACGGTGAGCAACAAAAAGAAGAAGCCACGAACGAGCGGTTGCCGTTTGCCGGAAAGAACGAGCAAACAACAAAAGCTGGTCCTTGCCTCTTTCCTGGTTGGACATCATCCGTAGAGAACACTGCATAGCTCGAGGCGGCAAGTACGGAGGAGTCGGGCACGGTATGCACAGAAGCTCTTGGTGCGACACACGGTGGGGTTTGCCTCTACCCAATCGCGTCTTGCTTTCTCTCGAGTCTCAGCAAACGGGCCAGAAAGCTACGAGAAATGCCCATGTACAGCGACTACCTCGCATGGCAACTGACGGCGAACGGAGCCACTTGTTCTTTCCCCCATCATCGCTCCTTCCATGTTGTGTCGTAGTATTTACTGTAAAGGGGAAGGCGGAAACGAATGAGACCAAAAAGAGGGAAAGGGCAACAGAACAGCATGGTCACAATCTAAGCGGCGTACTTCGTAGAGGAGGAGCGATGGCTTCAGGCGCATCCAAGGGAAAGAGCGACACCGCTGTTACCATTGGCCTTGCCTTCTGGTCCGATAGTTGCATTTGCCATTATCGCAAGCAGCGGCGACTGGTGAAAAGGAGACATCTACGTCGTAATACATCCCATCGCAACCACACTTTTTTTGCATGGCATGCACACATATGCACCACAACTCGCCCCCGGCGGCAAATACTTCCACCTCGTCCAGTCGTCCAGTTGGCCAGTCGCATTTCTCTGATCACCTGGCCTGCCGCCCATGCAGACTCGGGCCAGAGTCGTCCCTCTTTCCACAGGCGAGTCGATCGTGGTCCAGGAGCACCATCGGATGGCCGCGGCACGGATATGAACATCAACATCTACGGTGCTGCTGGTCTGTTGACCAGATTTTGGCTTCGGCGGACTATGTTAGCGCCGGCCCCCAAACTCTGCGAAGAGTGAAATAGACAAGGCACCAAAGTGTCAAACTGCAGCACACGAACAATACTTGGCGGCTGCTCTAATCCGCTTTTGAGCAGCCTCCTTTACAGTGCCTGCATCGACTGGTGCGATAGAGACAGTAACAGAAGGAAGACACTTGCTCCCTTTTTATCTTTGTCCGCTGGTGTCATGCACAGTGAAATTACTTACAGGATTCATGGCGGAGAGCCCTGAGCTGAAAGTCCAAAAAAGAGACCGAAGCCAAGATCACAAGTTTTTGTCTATTGTCAGGTTGAGATGGGCGTTCAGCTGATGCAAAGTACCGATGAGTACAAATTAAGAATTCGGTATAGCAAACGCAACCACCTCCCATCAGCCCTTTGAGATCCCGGCCGGCGGTCTCTTGGTTCATCGAGAACAGTGGCATCAACCCACACCCCACGTATGTGAAAGCGGCGCATTTGCATCCTCCAGAGATCCAGCACAGATGCAGAAACAGACTCTCAGACACTCGGACTTTGGCCCAGAGCCCGGGTACACCAGAGGCTGTTTGATCGGCCCTGGAACTCGTGGCGCATCGCATCCTCTTGCAAGCGGCTCCCAATGGGGTGGTAAGGTAACCTGGTAGGTGGCGTGGGAACTGAGAAAGGAAAAAAAAAACACAGACGTGCAATGCGAGACGAGACTACTTTGACGCGGCGCAGTGCATGTCGTATATGTGTCGCACAATATATGGCCAAAGCGTCTTGAAGAGTGTCAGGAACCAGGTAAGACAAGGGACAACAAGGGACGACGAGGGCAAAAAGACCAGGACAATAGAGATCCGCGGGTGAGGACATGAAATACTGAGACGACAACGACTCGCGTTGTGAAGCGACAACGATACAAGAGCCTCTCAGCGGCCTCTACGCAACATTGCCTCGTGCTTCATATAAACGAGTTTCGCCGCAAGGGCAGAGATCAATATAGAGCCAAGTGATGAGCAATTGGATGTGCTTTGTCCTTCTCGTTAGGCACGGCATGTGGAAGCAGTTTTGTTGCAGATATTGCCTGTCTTGGACGAATGGCATCAACGAAGCAGCCGGGCATGGCCGTGGCCTGCTGCAAGTCATAGACCACATCTATGCAAGCCCAACCGAGGGCAGCGACCCGTTGGTTGTCCGCCACTCCCGTCGCGGTCCCAGGCAATGTGCTTTGCTTTGCTTCTTTTTCTTCTTCTCTCGCTATTCTTCATGTAAACTTCCTTGGCAGTCGCCCGGACATCCCTTCCCTTTTCCGCCTCTACTTTTTCTTCAACGCCCTTCTCATCCCGCATTGCGCTACCCGTGCAAGGCCTCTGACTGGATGAGAGATCTGCGCTGTCCACTAAATTGACTGACGAGGGGGGTTGCAAGGGCGCGTCTATTTCCCAGTGTAGGCCAATGAAATCAAGGAAGAAGCGGCACCAGACAGGCAAGGTGCATCTAGAGGCGAAGAGCGCATACCGAAAATCAACAAGCGGAGACGGACGAGCGAGCAGACAATACGCATCAGCTTGCATCAAAAGCGAAGTGGGAGGCAGGTTTCGAAATGAGCCAAAACAACAAGTACAGTGACAGACAAGTGCAATGCAGGGCCAAGGAAATGGAGCGGACAAGTGACAAGTCAGAAAATAACGTTGACAACAAGAGTGACGGACTCGAAAGGTTTCGAAAGCGTTTCTTTTTACGAGAGGCTCCGAAGACGCAGCTCCTTTGCGAGAAACAGGAACGAAGCATCGCCATTTGGGCACAAGTCGTGTTTACTAGTCCACACGCCTCACAAGCGGTACTTGGTACGCCGTATTTCCCCTTGTTTTTTCCCTTACTTTTTTATTTTCTTTTTCTCTCTCAACGGGTTTACTCTGACATGTTTTGTTAGCTATTTATTCTATTTCTGTGTTTATCGACATGTCGACTTTTAGCATGCAAAACCTGAAACAAGGTCAAGAAGTCGCACGGAGGGACATGCAAGACGCATTGCGACTCTGACCCATCCGAACGAAGTGGACGTTCCACCGAACTCACCCAAGCCGAACTGAAGAGACTAAAATGCCGACAGACCCTGGGCATCGCGTTTGCGGCGTGTCGTTTTCTTTCCGCATCCAGCCTGGTTTGCGTCGGTGAGGAGCAAAGACGGAGAAAATTCGCCAAAAAAGGACAAGAAAGCAAGCCCCCCCCGGCCCATGACTCCATATCCCCATGCTGCATGGTCCATGCAGACCATGTCTAGTCAGGGACCAAGTCTGCTCGACCCATGCCCAGTCTCGAAGGAGGAGCTGTCCGCAGTGAGCCCCTTTCTCGGTCTCGCTTGTCCTGGCTCTCACCTGGAGATGCCCGGCGGACGGGAATGAAATCGTATCACTCCGTTCGTCGTGCGATTCATGCACAAGAAGCTCCGGCTTTTACGCAACGAAAGACAAAACGGTAGGAAATTAAAGAAGGGAAGCTGCTGGTCGGCACTTTCGTCATTCGTCTGATATGTGCGAGTACGGCATGACGCGACATGGCAGGCATTAGGGACCGGACCAGACCGGACCAGGCCAACCCGGGTCCAACGGCCAGATAGAATTGCCAGGGGAAAATAGAGACGGCACAGAACCAAAGAACGACCGAAATGGAAGGCCTCTGGAACTAGAAACAGACTCCGCCAGGTACCTGGCTTGGACGAAAGGGGGAAAAGACCGAAGCAAAGAAGTGAAGCCTGTTGCGGCCCTTTTTGCGATGGGGCGACGGCGCATTGCAGCGGAATACGGAGCACAAATGATGGGCTGGCGCAGTCTCCATGGCATTACACAGTATGGCGCATAGCGCTCTTCAACGCTTGTTACCTTTATCTTTTCGGAAAAAAGGGGGATTCGGGCGATCACCACCCACACTTTCACCTTTGGCCGTCGCATGTCTGGTTGGTGGAAAGTCGCTCCAGTGCAGAACCGGCGGATTTGAACGACGGGCCGACCAGAGATCCTTGCGAGTGAGCCGGCCGCGCAAAATGTCCCCATTTGGCATCATGACTCGGCGACCACGGCCGACGCGTCGGGATACCGTAAGTCGGCATTCTCCTCCAAGAAGTCCATCCAGCTCTTGAGGAAAGCGCTGCCTCTACAGTGCACGAGACGTCAGTAGCTGCGAAGCAGATCAATGAAAATAAGAGACAAAAAGAGACAGAGGCAATGTCGACGTACCGCTTGACCGTCTCAGAGTCGCCGATAACCGTGAGAGATCGCTTCGGCCGCGTCATGGCCACTTGCGCTATGATTAGCTGGCTGGATGATGACGACGGGGAACATAATCTTACGACGGGGCAAGGGACCCACCGTTCAACCGCCGCTTCTCGGCGAGGAAGCCCACGTCGCCCGCTGCATTGCTCCGCACGAGACTCACCACGACGGCCTCCTTCTCGCGACCCTGGAAGCCGTCCACGCTGCCCAGCTCGATGCCCGGAAACTCTTGCTTGAGCGGGCCCGACAGCAGCGCCAGCTGCGCATTGTATGGCGTCACGACGGCAATGTCGGCTGCCCGTAGTCCGCCGTCGCGCACCAGAGTGCGCACATGCTGCCGCACCAGCAAGGCTTCCATGGCGTTGCACTTGCTGTCGCCAAACAGGCGAGCCCTGGCCGATTTGGCGTCTTTGGCGTCTTTGCCATCACCGTCGTCGTTTGGCGCCTCCTCGTCTGTCGTCTCGGGAAACTCACCGCCTTGCGTGTCTATAAACACGAGTGGCTCGCGGGTCTCGTCGACATCGGCCACGGTCGAGGCAGCCGCCCCGGATTCCGCGTCTGCGCTGTACTGGATGTCTCGCAGCAGCCGCCCCGCCACGCTCTCGGCGGCCACCAGCTTGCCCTCGTACAGCGTGTCCGAGGGGAACCGCATGATGCGCTCGTGCATGCGGTACTGCGTCGTCAGCATGCGCTTGATGGAGCTGCCGTGCAGGTCCAGCAGACGGTCAAAGAGGGTGTACTCCAATGTCATTGCGGAACCCTTTTGTCCCTTCTGTCTCGTCTGTCCTGTCTGTCCCGTCGTTGCGTCTAGAGAGAGCTGGTCCACCGGCAGGCGGCTGGCAGCATCAGTCGCGGCACCCTCTTTGCGCGGGGCCGTCTTGTCCTTTGTCGTCTTCTTCTTCGTGGCGGCCACCTTGGCGTCCGCTTTCGCCGCCTTGACCGTCGGCGGCAGCTGCAGGTGGTCACCCGCCAGCACAACCTTGCGCGCGGCGAGCAGCGGCACCCAACACTGCGCCTCCAGCGCCTGACTCGCCTCGTCAATCACCACCACGTCAAACGCCGGCGCGGGACCGTCCACCGACGACGACACCCGCAGCTGCGACCCGCCCGCGCCGTGCAGTGTCGCCAGCACCACCTTGCTGCCCCCGACCAGCTCCCGCGTGCACCGCCGTTCGCGCTCGCGGTACTCGCGCCGCAGGTCGCGCAGCTCGCTGTAGATGGCCCGCCGCGCCGTCTTGTTGGCAGGGCCTCCCTTTTGCTTGGGTTTCTTGAGGTCGGCCTGCCGCGCGTCCATGTCAGCCCGCACGTCGCGAACAATGGCGCCCGCCGCCGACGTCTGGGTCAGCACGTCCAGTGCGTGGCCCAGCACCGAGGGCAGCAGGCGTGCCGGATGGCCCAGGCGCACCATGGGAACCGCATGTGGCGCCAGCCGCTCGACGAGGTTGTCGACGGCAATGTTGGACGGCCCGCAAACGAGCACGCGCAGGTCGCGGCGGACCAGCTGCAGGATGAGCTCGACCAGCGTGTGCGTCTTGCCCGTGCCCGGCGGGCCGTGGATCAGCGCGACCTCGGGCGCCGCCAGCGCGAACCGCACGGCGTCCTTTTGCGAGTCGTTGAGCGTCGGGTCGACCCATTCGACTGCGTTCGCCGCGGCCGCATCGGCTGTCGTCGTCGTAGCGAGCCCGGGCGACGACAGCCCAAACAGCACCCGCATCAGCGGCGTGTAGTCGGCCGCCGGCATGTTCTGGATCGCGCGCATCGTCGACGCCATGCGCTTGTGCGTCACCTCGTCCGCCAGCTTCAGCAGCCACACGCGGCTTTGTAGCAGGGTGTCGACATGCTCGTCGCTGGCCGCTTTGCTGCTGCTGCTGCTGCTGTCGCCGTCGTCGTTGTCCACCGCCACCTCCAGCGCCGTCCGACGCACCCGTGTCACCACGCCGTGCACGCCGCGCTTCTCGAGGTCGCGCATCTCGCGCTTCTTGGCGCTGCCGCCGGGCTGCTCGGCCACCAGGACGACATCGCCCGTGCGCAGGCCGTGCTCCGGCAGCTCGTCGCTCGACGACGTGGCCGCGTCCCCTTCCAGCGTCAAGACGGTCCGGCCGCCCATGCCCGTGCGGCGGCCACCGACCACCAAGTTGATCAGGGCGACACCGGCCCGCTGGAGTGCTGCTGGCGTGTGCCCGCCGACCGTCTCGGCCGTCTGGGCGATTTCGGACTGCAGCTCGGCGGCGAGGAGCTCGAGCTGCGTGGCCGCAAAAGTGGGCACGTCGACAGGCTCCGGCTGGGCCATTGTAAGAGCGGGCGAGGGGAAGGGGGGGAATATTATACGGATGTCAGGGCGACTAGGAATTTAAGAACAAAAACTTTGGTATTTGTATGGTTTTTGCAGTCGGCAATGTTTGTTTGTGGGATGTGACCCGCTGTAGTGACGTCGACGCCCATCGATTTTATTGGCTGGAGCTTGGGAGCTTCATGAACCAGTTGATTATTACAACGCATTTTAGCTGCAAGTAACAAACGGCCAGGACTCATCACGACAAGGTCAAGAGAATTTGTACTGAATTTTAATTTCTTGATACCTGTGGTATTTGGCTCGCGGGGTGCTCGCTACCTATTGCAAAACTAAACATCGACTGAAGTCTGGGTTTCCTTGTAGAAATTTGGATGAAACAAACGAAATAGAGCAGTCGAAAAGCGAAACAACAGAAAACAGAAAAAAAAAACAGGTCCAGAAAAGAGAACAAGAAAATGTGTACAGTCAGGTAAGACTCCAAAAACGTAGAATCTGCTGATAAAAAATAAGAAGTAATAACGAAATCGTCCAAATAGGGCAAACGTCCAGGGGCCTTTCCTTCAGTCTCGGCTGTTTTTTTTCTTCGTCTTTGCCGCACTTGTCAAGTCGTGGTCAATGCCGCAGGAGGAGTCGTCCTCTAAACTATCATCCTCCGTACATTGGGGCCGCCCTTAATATACATTTTCAATAACACAGGGGTTCGTCCGGAAACGAAACCCAAACGGGGCGGACGGTCTCGCCACCGCCCGCGTCCAACAGTTGTGGCCGTGAGCAAACGAACACCGCTACACGTCCCACTCCTCCTCCTGCTCCTCGGCCGGCTCATCGACGGTCAGGGCAGCAAACGAGGACTGTGAGGCAACCGCGGCAGCGGGACGCGGCTTCTGGGCCCCGGGCGCAGGAGTGGCCGCAGCAGCAGGAGCGGCTTTTGCGCGGCCGGAGTAGGGGCGGCGGGAGCAGCAGCAGCAGCAGGAGCCTCCGCGGCTGGTGCAGCGTCCTTGGTCTTCTTATTCTTGCGGCCCTTGGTCACTGTGTTCCACGAGTCCTCGTTCTGGTCCTTGCGCAAAATCTCCATCTGCTCCTCCTCTGAGGGCAGCGACGACATCCAGTCCTCGCTCTTGTCGTACGACGGGACAGACGACTTGGACGCATCGGTCTGGACGTTCGCGTCAAACGTGTCAAGGGGCTGTGCGGGCACAAAGCCGTTGGTGCCAGACGGGCCACCGGACGAGGCCGTCTTGCTGCTGGTGCCCTGGCCGGTCCATGCGTTGGACGCCGCCTGCGCAGCCATGAATGCAGAGCCGTCCTTGGCAGCACGGCCCTCGGCTTGCCGGGCGGTGCGGCGCTGGGCCTCGAGCTTCACCTTGCGGTCCGACTCGGCAGCCTCACGCTCGGCCTTGGCCAGCTCCGCCTTCTTGCGGTTCTGGCGCTGCTTCTTGGACTCGACGACCTCGGGCGCCTTGGTCTTCTGCGTCTTGTAGTTGGGCTTTTCCTCGGTGCCCGTCAGGCGCAGAACGGAGGGGCCAGGCGCGGCCTTCTCGAGCATGTCGTCGACGGCGCCAGCCTGGGTGGCGGCGGCAAGAACAGGCGACGTCGCAGCGGACGAGTTGTCGTCGTCAGCGTCGATGCCGGCAGTGGACGACGCCGCCGAGACGCCGCCGGCGTCGGCCGCCGCGACGGGCGCCTCTTCGGCGCGGGACTGCTTGACACTCTTCTGGCGGGACTCCTCCTTGGCCTTCCCTGTGAACTTGGTGCCCTGCTTGACGCTGTTGAGCTGGCGAGCAAACTCCCGGTTGCGCGCGGCGTCGCGGTCGCGGTCAGCGTCGCGGTCGTCCGAGCTGTAGTTGTAGGCCGGGGCGGCTTGTGCTGGTGCTGGCGACGGTGGCTTTGGCTTGGCATCTAGCGTGCCCTGTGTCGCCGGCTTCGGCTTGCTCTCCTTTTGCTGCTTGGCCTTCTTGTAGCCCTTTTGCGCGCCCGCGGCCTGGCGTTCCAGGCGCGACCGCTGCTGCTCGCGGCTCGACTGGATGCGCTGCGAGGTCGAGAACTCGCGGTAGCCCAGGACGCCAAACAGTCCCAGGACGACGACCCAGCCGGCTAGTGTAGACATGGAGACACCCATGGTTGTAGATTTTGGAGATGGTGAATGGATACGGTGGGAGCAGGGAAACAACGAAGAAGACGGTTCGTCGAAAGCTGATAGCGAGCCTCAATAGTAAGAGGACAAGGAAGCGAGTGCAGTCGAGAAAGGATGGAGGATGTCGTGTCGGACAGCGAAACGAGGTTTGTTTGTCGAAGTGGCCTTGTTCGTATTCGGGCGCTTGCTTGACCGGGGATCCGAGACGTGGATACGTGTGACGGCAGATGTTTTACTGGCTGCCAAACTCGGGTCGACAGCCGGTGTAATATACAGCTGTGCTTGTTCCTGGTTGAACTGTTGTCTCACGGCTGCCGGAGATGAGAGAGAGAGAGAGAGAGACAGCTGACAGATGCAGGAGAGCGCAATTGATGCTAAGAGCGACGTCGGTCGAGCATGGAAGGATCGACGTTCAAGGATCGAGGAGGCGTCGACAAGATGGCTGCAGTGCTGCGAAAGTACGACAATGGAGGAGAATGTGGTTGTCAAGGCAGAGAAATGCGTGGAAGCAAAAGTGAAGCCGAAACAAAGGCTAGAGATGGCAACAGAGGTCGAGGTTAGGGAGATCGGCAAGAGAGGAGGGTCTGAGTGAGGGAAACCGTTGGGTAGGCCACACGCACGGCAGGGGCGAGTGTACTGGTGATGGCAACGCCGCAAGAAGAAGGAGGGCCCGGGAGTTGGAAAGGTGAGGAAGGAAAGCTTTGCGAGCGCCAAAAAAATGAGAGGCAAGTACGACACAAGAAAAGGAGGGTAAGGGACTCAGGGGAGGAAAGAGCAAAAGCGCGAGGAAGGAAAGAGAGGCAAATGAAACACCAAGAACACGGTACTTCGCAGCGAATGGGGAAACAGCAACCACGTCCCTTGCCGTTTTGGGATCTGAGGGACTGACTGGACAGGCTGTTCAATATGGGTATGAGGCTAGACCGGGAAGGAGCTGTTTTGTGGGACACGCTTTAGTTACTGGCGGGTAAGGCACGTCGTAGTGTGGGAAGGTGTGACGGAGCAGTAAAAGCAGAAGGTAAGTGCGAACAGCAAGAGGGCAAGAATACAGAGGGCAACGCTGGCAGAATGAGAGGCTTCTTGATGATGGCGGACCAAAACGAGGCCAATGGAAACGGGGCGCGTTGGAGGGAGACGGATCAGGCGAAACTAGTTTGAGACTGCGCGATGAAAATAAACAGGTGGCTTCACCACGTTTACTGTTGCTGCAACGGTTCAGCACAAAGGGTCTTTTGTAGGGGGACAATTGGTGGCTGTTTCGATTTAGGGCATTAACTTTGCAATTGTTTTATTGCTTGCGATGGAGAACAGTGCTGAGGAAGGTGCGACATGTGCACAACGGCGCTGTGTGCTAGCGCCTTGGAAACAACCTATTCAGGAATCAGCAGTCAAGTCCGCCAAAACCTGCAAAGGTGTAATTACGTATGCCGCACTGCCCAGCCCCGGGTTTTAAAGGCCGTGACGGCATATCTCGACGAGATCTTGTCGACATACCCGTCATAACTTGTAGATTTCCATGTTACGGGACATTGTGAGGAGATGTAGCATCGCAGAGACAGATGAGGTGGTTGACGCCCGTGTTGGAAGGAGCACACTCTGTAAGGAAGAGAGATGCTGGGAGGAAACGGTGTCCACTCAACCGCCCAGGACGGAAGGACGCACTCTGCAATCAGGGCGTTCGGTCCGGCAGCTCAATGGGTCCTTCCTGCCTCAAATAATGGTCTACGGAGCCAGCTAGACAGTGTCGAAACGGAGGACAGAACAAAGGAAAAGAAAGACAGTATGCAGGAGAGGAGAGACAGCTGTCTTTCGTTTCCATTCCAGCTTGCCTCGTCTTTCGTCTGCTACGCATCACCAAAACGAGATGCCAAGCCCGTGGCTTTTCTACGCGGGAGTACCGAAGCAATAATGCTCCGTAGGTGGAAAAGTGTGGGCGGAGAATAGGGGCGGAAAGGGGTTCAGTACGGTGACAAGCACAGTGCAAACAGTGCGTCTCGCACGCAGAGAGCAGAACGGATTTTCGGCACTAAGTCACTGCGCCGGTATACCGACCGGGAAGGCACGACCTACAGGCGGCAGGTGGATATCGACGACTGTTCTTTCCCAGCGAGAAAGCAGGTCCTCTATCGGGTCTTGATAACGCTCCCGTGATATCTCGAATTCGATTTCCTTGTCATCAACAACCTCTATCTGGACGATAGCACTCTTTCTTGCTCAGCAACACAGTTTGATTTCTTGACTTGATTTCAAATTTTGGTTGGTTTGGCTTGTGTCAGTCCGTCACATACCCTATCTTTACGGCGGCGCACACCCCTCATCTTATCGCGGAACACGAACCCCCGCAAGGTGGAATTCTGCCGCCGAGACACGTCGGACGGGAACTGCAGCAATAGAAACCAGATTTCAGAAGCACGGCTGCAAAGTACAAAGTACGGCGTACGAATTACAGGTAGATGCCAAGTTCCGACAGAGACCCTGCCGCTAAGCGCAACCGGGATTTTTATTTGGTTATATTGTCGCCAATTTTCATGACCGAGCAGCCCTGGAGCCCCAGCTAAGCGATCGCACAGCCGACCACAGGGAGCACGCGACCCCCCGGACCTGACCCTGGGACCTAGCACACAGAAGACATGGCGCCCAAGAACCGCATTATCATCGACACCGACCCGGGTACGTTGAGATGAGGCGGAAGATTGTGGCGATGCTTGTTGTGCCGCAGCCTTGCTAACGTCCGTAGGCGTTGATGATGTCCTCGCCATTTTGCTGGCGCTCAGCGCGTCGCCCGAGGACTTGGAGGTGGTCATGTTGTCGGTGACGTACGGCAACGTGCCGTTGCAAGGGTACGGGATCGGCGAGTCTCTGGCTGTACGGCGTGTTTCTTTGTATCTTTACTTGCTAACAAGACAGGTGCCTACGCAATGTCGTGGCGCTCTTCCACGTTCTGGAGAAGGAGATGGCATGGCGGGAATCGACCGGCCGGACGAGCAAGGCGTTTGGCGGTCTGAAGGCGTTCAAGCCCATCGTTGCCATCGGCGCCGAGCACGCGCTGGAGGACGAGGAGCTCATGGCCGACCACTTCCGTACGTTCCTGTGATGTTTCCATCTGTTTATTTTGGCATTGGCTGACAACGGGGGTCTACAGACGGCGCTGATGGTCTGCATGGCGTGCATGAAGCTGTACGTGCGATTGCATCCCCATCTGTCTTAACCGCAAGGGTTGACCTACTGACGCGCATAGCACCCGGACCTTACACCGTCCGAGACATGGCGGTCCCTGTTTGCTGAAGGCGACGCCCCTGCCGCATCGGATGCGCTGTCCTTCTCGTCCTACTTTACGCCCTCCAAGACACCGTCGCACAAGGAGATTCTGCGCATCCTCAAAGAGGAGCCGGCCGACACGATCACGATCATTGCCATTGGCCCGCTGACCAACATGGCGCTCGCCGCCGCCGAGGACCCGGAGACGTTCCTGCGTGTCAAGGAGCTCGTCGTCATGGGCGGCGCCGTCCACGTCGAGGGCAACATCACGCCCGTCGCCGAGTTCAACTGCTATGCCGACGCTGTGGCCGCCGCCCGCGTCTACGCCCTCACCTCGCCCACGCCCGCGTCCACCATGCCGCCCACGCTGCACGGCGCGTCCAAGCTGCCGCCGTATCCCGCCACGCTGTCCCGGACCCTGTCTCTGACGCTGTTGCCGCTCGACATCACGACGCCGCACCTGCTGAACAAGAACTTCTTCCTCGGGCAGATTGCAAGCGCCGAGCAGGCCGGCAGCCCGCTGGCGCGCTGGTGCCGGACGTTCATGGTGGGCACGTTCAACAAGATCGAGTCCATCCTGGGCGACGGCAGCGAGCCGGGGCTGTCCCTGCACGACCCACTGTGTGTGTGGTACATGCTGCTGCGGGACGACCCGCGGTGGACGGCGACGGCGAAGCCCGAGGACCTGCGCGTGGAGACGTCGGGCCAGTGGACGCGCGGCATGCACGTCGTGGACCGGCGGCAGCGCAGCAAACCGGGCGACCACACCGAAGGGTTTGCCGGCGTCGCAGCCAACGCCATTGTGCAGAGCGACGGCAGTGCCGGGACACCGGTCCCCCGAGCACCATCTGCTGCGGCGGCCGGCGACGACAACGTCCCCGGCGACACCATGGGCTGGTTGAGCGTGCGTAAGGGCAACCGCATCAACCGCATCGTCGGGTCGCCGGGCGAGCTGGCCTTTGCCGATGTCCTGATGAAGAGCCTGTTTGCCTGAGACTATGTCGGTGCAGGCGTAGCGATCTGGTGATATTTTGAATGCATATATTGAAGTGTTTTAAGCGGGCCGCAGCCTTTTGATTTTACTGGGTATCTAGTTTCAAAATGGGTGTCCTCTCGTAATCCGGCATCGTTCCTTCAGTGATGTGTCTTGGTGGGCGTCGCCCTATATGTGCTTCGTCGTTCCAATGACGTGCCCGCGCACCTTTGTCCAGTCAATCGACGCGTCCAGCTGCTCGTCCACCAAGCCGATGCTGCACACGTTGTCGCCACGCACGAGGTACAGCCCAAGGGGCACCTCAGCAGACGCCTCGTCGTCGTCGGGCGTGTTGATAACACGCTCAATTGTGCCCAGCAACACCTGCAAGAGTCAGTACAAGATTCGTGCGAGGCGAATCCCTGCCTCGGAGAGCTCAACAAAGCTTACCAAGTTGGTCGAGTTGTCGATGCTGGCGAGAGTGCCAACGAGGATGCGCGAGTCGACTGTGAGAACGAGGACTTTTTCTAAAAGGAGACACAACCGTTAGCCCATTTTCTTTCCACGGAATACATTCCATACAAACGCACTCTCTAGGTAGTTGTTCAAGAGGGCCGCCATGGCGGCGGGTCGGCGTGAGCGAGACGGACGGGCAGTCAAGGAGGAGCGCTGTGAGGCCGTGGTCGAGATGACCGGGCAGACGGCTGTGGTATTCAAGCTCCTGGAATGTGAGGTGTCGCTGTCGTCGTCGGAGTCGTCGTCGGGGGTCGTCGTCTCGATCAATGTCGAAGGAGAGGTGCAGGGATCGCAAAAGAAGCAGTGTGATGTAGCTGGCGGTCGTAGCTGCCTTTTGTGCCGACCCTCTATAACTTAGTGCTAGCTTGAAAAAGTGTGGCGCATATTGCCCACTAGCCACAGCGATAAGCTCTGAGCCACGACCAGGACACAGGACAATCGTCAACACGCACAATAACCCAGGCCGTCAGTTTACGGGTAACACAAGTGTAAATCAATGTTTAAAGCACTTCCCCATCCTGAAAAAAGGCACAGATTGCAAAGGGCAGAGGTAGAGTCAAGTGCACTCGCCAGGTCGGCTTAGACATACATGATCGTGCCTTCCCCCTCAACGGAAATCAGCGGCTCTACCCCGCAAGATCGTGCCTGCCCAGAACGGCGGTGCCCCGTAGTTCGCGCGTTTCTAGTGCTATCACTCATAACGGCGATATCGCAGGGTCGTCTATGGCCGATAAATAGGGGCTTCTTTGGCCAGTTCCTGTTTTGTAGATTCCAACTCTGCCATTACCCCATCCGTACTTTGAAACGCCGGCCATCGACATGGCTTCCCGTGCTGTCGTTTCCACTCTCCGCCGGCCAAGTTACTTCCGACACATCGGCCTACCTGAGACCAACTTTACGCGTGTATCTCGGCGCTCGTACCAGGCCGCGGCGCCATCCACTTCGGCCAAGCCACTGCCCCACGATGCCATGAGCAAGGCGAACCCGTTGCGGCAGGCGTTCACGCGCCTCCGGAGCGCCGACAGCTCGGCACGCGGGCAAGCCAGTCTGGGCATGTGGCAGATGCTGCCGGGCGCCTATGTCTCGCGGACGCTGGCACGGACGCCGGGGATTGACTGGGTGCTGGTCGACTGCGAGCACGGCGCGATTGATGGTAGGCCCCTGAGACGATGTGCAGACCGTCACGAGAGGGAGACGGAGATGGAGACGGGAAGCCCTGCTGACCAACAGATGCCGCAATGCACGCGGCTGTGCCTGTGATTGCCGCCGAGGGCGCATCGCCCATTGTCCGGATTCCCGACTTCCAGTCGTGGATGGTGAAGCGTGAGTCTGCGCCAGGAATTGGTGTTTCCCAGAGTGCCATGGCAGTGCTGACGGCCGGTTGACCAGGCGCTCTTGACAGCGGTGCCCATGGAGTATGTATTGACTCTGCGTTGATTGTATGGCGCATTTTTTGCCTTTCATATTGCCTCGCTGACAGACGCAGATTCTCGCTCCGCTTATCCGCACGGTTGACGAGGTCAAGGAATTCGTCGCTGCGTGCAAGTTCCCACCACAGGGCCGCCGTGGCTTCGGCTCACCACTCGCCATGCAGGGCTTCCGCGTCACGCAAGAGGACGACCCGAACCCGCACCCGGTCGCCCTGCCGACGTTCACAGAGTACCTCGACCAGGCCAACGCGAGCATTGTGACCATGGTGCAGATCGAGACCCGCGAAGCGCTGGAGAACGTCGAGGCCATTGCACCACTCGTCGACGCGCTCTTTGTCGGGCCCTTTGACCTTGCCAACAACATCGGCCACCCGATCCGCGACGGCGTGTTTCCCACGGCGGTCAAGGACGCCATGGCGCGTGTGCTGGCGGCCGCGCAGTCCGTCGAAGGCTGCTGTTGCGGCGTCTATGCAGGCTCGCCCGCGCAGGCACGCGACTACGCGGCGGCCGGGTTCCACATGGTCAATGTGGTGACGGACGTGCTGACGCTGCAGGCGGCGGCATCCGCGGCGGTCCACGTGGCGCGGGGCCAAGGCGGATGACGTGGACGGAGCGAAGCGGAGCGGAGCAGAGCGCTAGGCGTCGTTCTTCTCCACAAGATCCATCTTGGCTTTCACGTCGTCGGGATCGAAGCGGTGCATGAGTTTGACGGCGCGCGACGCCAGCTTGGGGTCTTCCTCGGCCGCCGTAATCTTGCTGACATGGATCTGTTTTGTTAGTGATGGCTCCATAAACATGAATCATGACATTGTATCCCCTTACCACAGGTACATCCAAGTCGTAGAGATCCCGCCAGCCTTTATGGACGGGGTCGATGACGTCGACTTCGCGGTAGTCAAACGGCCGAGCGTCCCAGACGTGGGCGAGAGCTGACTTGGCGCGCGTACAGAGGCCGCAATTGGGCCGCGTAAACAGCGTTATGCGGCATTTCTGCTGCTGCTGCAGAAGACGGGCCGTCAATCGCATGGTGATGTAGGGATGCTATTGCTGTGTTGCTGTCGTGCCGCAGCTGTGGCTGATGGGAAGAAGCAGCTTAATTGGCACAGCAGCACCTTCCTCACACGACATTGGCTGTGGACAGAGTGCCTTCCTCGATCCAGTAAGGCGGGGTTTGCAATGTATGGCGGCAGGTGCTGAAGAGCACCTGAAGCTAAGAGTGGGGCCTGCTTCAGCATCTCGCTTGCCATATGGCACTCGCTTGCCATATGGCACCCAAACGTCAACCACGTTGTCGGTATTTGCATTGCACGGACAGCCAACGGCCGTCGGTGAGAAGCATCAAGCATTGGTGATTTTCTGTATTGGGCTTTGGCGGGGCAGAACCGAATGAGCATCTCCTCTCCTGTAACTTGTCTCAAAGAGAACTCAGTGTGTGTACAGTAAGAGCACGTTGCCGGTCGCACTTGCCGTCGGTTTTTTCGGGTTTGTCGGACTTTGTCCATTTCGATTAGTCGAGGCAAAACAGGGCAGGAGCTCCGCTGTAGGATGGCTGTCGTTCGTAGGGCAGGCGCGACGAACCGACCTTCTGGAACCACCTACTTTCCCCGCCAAAGCACCAAAGAAGCAAAGAAAAAAACTGGGTCGTGGATTTTCTCCCGAATGGAAGCTGTTGGAAGATCGCCGTCAGAATTTCCACCGCCAGAAAACTCGCCCAGTCAACACCAAAACGGAAAGGCAGGCTTGACACATTTCTTTTGAAGAAAACGACGAATTGATCAAAGTCGTTTGCACCCAGCAACAGTGAACCAACACAAGGACTTGACGAGGTGCAACATCAGAGAATAGGAGCCCCTCCAATAAGCCCAGCAGCGAAGAAGCTCTTGTTTTCATCACCTTTTCAGCAACGATCGATTTCGCGGGGTAGCATTGCAAGAGAAACGATTCAAAGGCACGCAAACCAGGCTCGACCGCCCAATCGTACGACCACGACCATGGCCCAGAAGTGCGTGCACCAGGGCTGCGGCAAGCAGTACACGGACCCGGACGAGGTCTGCAGGTACCATCCGGGGCCGCCGGTCTTTCACGAAGGGCAGAAGGGTGAGTCCAGACAGGATCTGTCATGGCTGTTGACACGTCGGAGGTGGGCAGGAAGCTGACGAGCATCACAGGCTGGACGTGCTGCAAGCCGCGGGTCCTGACGTTTGAGGAGTTTATGGAGATTACGCCCTGCACGGAGGGCAAGCACAGCACGACCGACCTGCCGCCCAAGGTCGAGAAAAAGGAGACGCCGGCCGACGTGCAAGCCGTTCCGGTTGCACCAACGACAGCCGCCCCATCCACCGAGACGCTCGGCCCCGCCATGCCGCGCACACCCCTTGCCATGCCGACCCGCGAAAAGCAGACCGACAGCTCCCCTTCCTCTTCCACACTGGCAGCAGCAGCCGCTGGGGCCGCCACACAGCCACCGCCGCCGCAGCCCGAGTCCGACGACGACGACCCGTCCCTCGCAATCCCCGACGGGCGCATGTGCCGGCGGCGCGGGTGCGGCGTGGCGTACAAGGCAGGCACGAAGCGCGGCGGCAGCGATGCAGACCCTGAGCGCTGCGTGCACCACCCGGGCGCGCCCATCTTCCACGAGGGCAGCAAGGGCTACAGCTGCTGCAAGCGGCGCGTGCTCGAGTTTGACCAGTTTATGAAGATTGAGGGCTGCCAGACGAAGCCGCGGCACCTGTTTGTGGGCAGCGGCAAGAAGGACCGGAAGGCGGCGGGTGCCGGCGGCGAGGCAGGCAGCCACACGGCCGGCGGCGACGGCAGCGAAGAGCTGCTCGACAATGTGCGGTTCGACTTTTACCAGTCGGCCACGTCGCTGACGGTGTCCTTCTTCCTCAAGAAGATTGACAAGACGCGGGCCGTGGTCCGCTTTACGGAGCAGGGCATCGCGCTGGATCTGCCGACGACGGACGCGCCGGTGCCCAAGCGGTACAAGAAGCAGGTGTCGCTGTACGGGGCCATTGACCCGGCCAAGTCCAAGTACAGCGTGCTGGGCACGAAGCTGGAGGTGGTGCTGGCCAAGGCGGTGGTGAGCTCGTGGCCTGTGCTGCGCAGCGACGACCGGCCGACGGGCGAGATCTTCCAGGTCGCGCGGGCCGGCAAGGTGGAGCGGTAAGCCCGCAATCCCATAGACGCAAGACGCATAGATGTATATGAGATACGAACTAGAGAAGGACGACTGGACGAGATGATACGGCGGGATGGGGAGGATGGGTAATGGAGTGAATGGTAAAAGGACAGTTATGGATTGGAGAACAAGGGGCGTGTTTGGCTCGGGGCATTGCGTTTGCATATTCAAGACTTTACATGATTCAATACACATGTTCGATGCAAGTATTACTTCACATTTTCCACTCAACAAACAGGTCATGACGTGCGATTACTTGTTATTTACACATTGTACACAGCCTCACGAGCTCATGCCCTCCATCAGCTCAATCTGGTCCAGCAGCATGCCCTTGCGCATAATGTACTCGCGCAGCGCCTGGAACTCGGTGCCCTCCTCCTCGCCGAAGCGGTGCGCCTCGCGGAACCCAAAGGCGCAGGCCACGCTGTCGAGCGCCGCGCGCTCCTCTTCGCGCAGCCACCGCTCGCGCAGCGGCGTGCCGGGCGCCCACGTCACGCGGCGCATCTGGTCGTTGGCCGTCGTGTTGGCGACGACGCCGATCGTGCCCGTAAAGGCAATGTAGGCGAGGATCGCGGCAAACGACAGGCTCGTCGCCGTCGTCGTGTCCATGGTCTCCTGCAGCGTGGCCAGCTTGGACGCCAGGCTGTACGTCGCCGCCGGCACGCCCACCACGACAAACGCCGGCAGCAGGCCGTGGCGCAGCAGCTTGGCGCGGACAAACGCCGGCGCCGCGTACGTGTGCTCAATCACGCCGACGGCGGCGTCCAGGTTCTGTGCGGCCAGGGCCGCCTCCAGAGCGGTCGCGGCCACGCGGGCGCCCACAGCGCTCGACGGCCGCCGCGGGTTCTGCGTCTTGTACGTGATGGGGCCGCCGGCCGCGGGCGCCGGCGCGGGCGCCGGCTTGGATGCGTAGAGGCTGAGAACGTGCGGCAGCGACTCCGGGCGGCCCAGCCGCGCCTGGATCTGGACGTACTGCTCCAGCAGCTGCGGCGTCAGAAACACGCGCGGCTCGTCTGCAATCATGTAGGCGGCATCGGAGATCTGGTCGATGGCCCGGCGGAGGCGCGGGGCTGCGTCCACGGTCGGGTCCGCGGCCGCTGGCGCCGCCGCAGTCTTGCGCCCGTCCAGCGACAGCAGCGTCGAGGCGGCCGTGTCCGACTGGTGGTCGATGCTGCTGAGCTGCGGCTGCACGGCGGCGTCCATGATCAGGTCGGCCGCCTCGCTGCATATGCGCAGGGCCGTCGCCGTCTCGCCCTCGGAGGGCACGCCTGGGTGGCTCAGGAGCCGGTCGCGCGCCCCGTTGACGAGGGCGGCTACCTTGTCTAGGTCCGGCAGGGTCACTGGCTGCGGACGTGAAGCTGCTGCAGTGGCGGCATCGGCCTGTCGTTGCCTTGGTGCGAATGTCGTCGAGAAAAATCGCAGGCCGTGTGGTGTCGAGAGTGGTGGCGGCAGAGACGTCCGCGCGGCACGCCTTGACGAAGCCATGGCAGCCATCTGTGCCATGCCCGCCCGACCGCCGCATATCCGCGCCCGCCGGGCCGTGTGAAAGGCCATCAAGGACCCTGGAGTTGATGATGCTCCCCGCGTATTACTGCAGTCCACAGTCCTCGATGCGCACTCCAGCGCCTGACGCAGCTGCGGCTGTCGTGGCCGGTGGGCCGCCCGGCATTGTGTGAGCATGATGTGTTGGTCCTCTCTGGTGAATTGGCCGTCGGGGAGTGGTCGCCAGAGTCGCCGTTTGCCGTTCCTTTTGTCGAGACGTCCAAATTCAACAGCTGCCGATTTCGATGTGCAGGGATTGGCGGAGACTGTGTGAATACAGTGTGTAAACTCAATTCAGACTGTATATTCTTCGTGGTGGTCTTGCCTTTGCTCTTTCCTTCCCAAGGGCGCCCTCACTGGACCCACTTGCCGGTCCAACTGCGTAATCCTGCGTCTTGGCGAAACACGCCGCTCTTGCCTCTACAGCGAGGAAACAGTAAGGAAGGTGCCCCACTTTTCCGCTGGGCTCAATGTTGGGTGCCTGCCAAAGAGCACGGCTGGGCGCCAGTCGTTCCTTCGTGTTCTACAGCTATTGATTGACCTACCACTTCTAATCCACTTCTAAACGCCTGCCTCATTGTCCACATTGTCGCCATCTTCGCTTCGGTCACCTTCACACCCATTCGGCCACGACTTCGACTCCAGCCGTCCACCACACCCGCATCGTCCATTCTTATATGCAGCATTAGCTTCATTTCTTACGCAGGTCTCGACGATAGGACCGGCAGCATCCCCCTGAGCGGCCTGCCGTCGACCACGCCAGGCGGCACGCGCTCCCTTTGATTGACGAAAAGATTAAACGATTTTGTGTCCCAACAGCTGCACCTCTCGGCGTCGACGTCTTCTGCTCGTCCGCATCCCACAGCAACGATGCCGCCGCCTCCGCCGCCTCCGCCCCCCCCTCCCCCGGGCGGCATGTCCGGCATGCCTCCGCCACCACCGCCGCCACCACCGCCTGGCGGTCTGCCATCACGGCCTCCCGCAGGGAAAGGCTTGGTATGTCAGACACAAACACAGACACAGACACAGACAGCTGTTGTTCAACCTGTTACTAAGTACTGACGTACAAACATTCAGAACTCGGCCCTGCTCGGCGACATCCACAAGGGCAAGGCCCTCAAGAAGACCGTCACCAACGACCGCTCCGCGCCCGCCCTCAGCAAGTCGTCCGGCGGCGGTTCGGGCTCGTTGCCAGTGGCCGGTGCTCCTCCGATTCCGGGCGGCGCTCCTCCGCGGCCAAGTGGCGGCCTGGCACCGCCCGCTGCGGGCAACCGTGCTCGCAGCAACAGCGACCAGGGCGGCATGGACAGTGCCGGACCACCGCAGCTGGCCGGTCTCTTCTCTGGCGGCATCCCCAAACTGCGCAAGACCGGCGGCGGCGTCAATACAGGAGGTCAGTAGAGCCTTTGTGCCCTCTTTGTCGGGCACGCGACTCGACTCGCCGCCCATGCTAACCATCGCAGCTGATACGACCGCCTCGTACTTGTCCGACCCCGAAGACTCGCGCGCGTCCGCCGCACCGCCGCGGCCGCCTGCGTTTGGCGCACCAAAGCCACCCGGTGGCGCTGCACCGAAGCCGCCCGGCCGCCCTGCAGTACCTGCGCCCGGCAACCCGCTCGGCGCCGGCTTCCACCCGTCCATCTCCAACCTGCGCAAGGTGTCGGCGCGTGGCGACCGCCCAGTGTCGTCTGCCTCGCAGATTATCATGGGCAGCAAGGGCCCTCCGCCGCCCATTGGCAAGAAGCCGCCGCCGCCGCCCGGGTCCAGAAAGCCCTCGTCGAGCCTGGCCTCGCCGCCACCCATGAGCTCTGCGCCGCCCATCCCCTCGGCTGCCGCGCCTCCCGTACCTTCGGCACCGCCCGCACCGCCTCCGCCGCCACCTCCGTCGTCCTTTGGCGCCGCCGCACCGCCTGCTCCACCTCCTCCACCGCCGCCGCCGAGTGCGATGCCGTCCTCTCCACCGTCTCAGAGCCTTGCAGCCCAGGCCATGATCCGCGCACAGCAGCAGCAGCAGCAGCAACACCAGCCAGCGTCACCGCCGCCTCCTCCCCCGCCGCCGCCGCCGAGCAACAGTGCGCCCTCGCGGCCCCCACCGCCTCCCTCGGCACCGCCTCCGCCGGCTGCCCCGTCGCACTCGCCGTCGTCCTCCTTCTCGTCGGCACCGCCGCCTGCGCCGCCGCCACCGCCGCCACCCCCGGCGGCAGCAGCGCCTTCTGCGTCACCGTACGGCAACGGTACACTGGCCGCGTCGTCGTCGTCTGCCAACCTGCCGCCGCCGCCACCTCCACCGTCGCAGCGTGCTGCTAGCACCAGCATCAGCAGCGGCTCCAACAGCCACCCGATGCGCGTGTCAATGCTCGACCCGTCGGCGTACACGCTGATGCCCAACGGCGGCGGCGGCGGCGGCGGCAACAGTGGGCACAGCAGCGCGCTCAACAGTCCGTCGCCGACGCGGACGGGCAGCGCGGCGGGCGCAAACAACGGATCCCTCTCGCCGCGGCCGCAGACCGGCGGTGGCGGTGCGCGCTACATTGTGCAGGACACGCGGTGGCGGTTCGTGACGGAGGATAAGTTCCCTGTGGCGCGGACATTTACCGGTGCGCCCAAACGGTACCGGGCCGGCCGTGGGAGCAGTGTGCCGTTGGATCTGAGTCTGTTTACGTAGGGGACAAGTGTTGTGGTCTTTTTTTGGTATTACTGTCTTTTGAAGGTTTTAAGTTGGTCTTTTCATGTCTAGCAGACTGTTTTGGGTTGCTTTTAATGTGTACGTTATTCTTTTTGAGATAAAATGGTGTAATGGTGTACCGCATTCAAGTGTGAAATAGGCTCAGGTTTGTGTATATGGAGCAGTGCAAAGCATTCGTCATTCATTTCTATATGTTGTACATAGAACCGCCAAAGCCAAATAGGGCCCCCCCCCCCCACAACAGCGACTCAACGCCTACAGCCGCACAATCTGCCGCTCCTGGTTGATGGCGCCCCGGAAGTGGTCCTCGACCACGCGGCCCTGCAGCACTGTCTCTTGCACGAGCCCCTCCACGTGCTCCGGCTCGACACGGCCGTACCACACGCCGTAGCCGGCCAGCGGGTGGGCCGCCAGGCCGTCGGGCGTCCGCAGGCTCGGCGGCAGATACACAATTACGTTGCCGGCAAACTTGTGTCCGCCAATGTGCGAGACCAAGCCGACGCGGGCCGTCGTCCTGCGCGCCGTCTGCACCGCTGGCGGGGGGGGCGCGTTCTTTGTCGCGCCGTTGCCGTCTGTGCCCACGTAGTCGTCCGGCTCGACGGGGCCCTGCTCGACATGGAAGCCGACGCGGCCCAGCGCCCGCGTAAAGGCGGTCTGCAGCACGGGGCCCACGATGCCGCAGCGCGCATCGCGTGCACGGTGGCCGCAGATGAGCACCAGCACGTCCGGGATCGGCTCGCGCACGCCGTAGAGCAGGCGCCGCAGGGCTGGCTTGCGCGTCAGGCGGTCGCGGTGGACGGGCGAGAGGGCGCCGTCGTGGGCGGGGTGCAGGCGCTTGGGCAGCAAAAAGCCCTGGGCGAGGGCCTCGACGGCGTCAAAGGACAGGCGCGGCAGATAGGGGATGTAGGTGAAGCTGGGCAGCAGGTAGACGGACGAGGACTGCAGGCCGACGAGGCGCGGCACGGAGGGCGGGAAGGAGGCGTTGAGGACGGCGACGTGGTGGTACGGGTCGCTGTAGGTGCCGCCGCGGCCAAAGAGCTCCTTGATGTCGGCGGCCAGGTTGTCGCCGCTGTTGGCGTCTTCAATGCGCGACGGCCAGTCGCTGGTGCCAGTGCAGACGAGGACCTGCTCGCTGTACGCGGGGATGAGGCCGTTGAGCGGGCTGGTGCGGTCGATGGGCAGGTCGGCGGGCAGCTCAGGCGTGGGCTCGCAGGCGCACGTGGGCGACGGGCACGAAGGGACAGTGGTAAAGGGCAATGGAGGCCGTTCTCGCTTGGGAGAGGCCGAGGCCGCGGCGGACGCAGAGGCAGAGGAAGAGGCCGAGCGGCACAACGGAGACGACGAGAAGAGCCGGCGCGGAGTTGCCCGCGTTGGCCCACCGGGCAGCGTCGACAGTGCCCTGTATCTTGCCCGGTATCTTGCCGGGGCCGCGATTGTGAAGGGCGACGAGGACGAGGCAGAAGATGTGAAGAGGACCGGACGAGTCGACCGGAGGCCGGCCGAAGAGGCGGCCGAAATGCACTTGGCAGGACTGGACATGATCAATGCGCGCGTGAAGACGTAAGTGAATGTGTGTCTGTTAAATGGGAGCGTCAAAGGAGAGGCCAAAAGAGGCCAAGAGGAGAGGTGAGAAGGCAGACAATTCCCAAAGAGTACGGAAGTGTGTAAGAGCGGAAAGAGGAGGTTGTCGAGGACTCGGCCGCGCCTGCCGGTCTTGCAGGGATTAGGGAGCCTGGTCGCGTTTGGTTGCACCTGCCAAGAGAGGAAGCTGCGCAGTTCCGTCCCGGAGCACCGTTTTGGGTCCGTTTAGTAGCTGTCTTACGGTGTGTGTTTTATTATCTCCGCAGCAAGCTCCGAGGCGTTGAGGAAGGTGCGGCCGGCGAATGAGACGAGCCAGGAAACGTCAATCATTGATAAAGCCAACTGGTGAGAGTGCGACGAGGCTGGAATGAGTGAGTATTATAGATCAGATACCTGATGCGTAATTTAATTCGGTCTGTAATATTGTGAGCAAACCGTTGAGCATTTTCTTTGAATAAAGAAAATAATAACGACAGAAAATTTACGATTTTTGTTCTTTTCTTTCCTTTTTTCTTTCTTGTCTTCCCTTTTTTCATATAAAAAAGAAAACTCGCTACCCCATATCCACAAAATGCAGCAAAAATCCAGCATTTCATCTGAAGCTATCAATCAACATTGTTATTCTGACTCTTGACGCCATCCATATGGCTTGCTATTAGAGACCTGTGAGGAAGGTGCGCTACGCCCCACCTAGCCGTAACTGCCTCTAAACGCCACAAGGCTTAAACTGAGGCTTAAACTGAAAACTCACATTATAACGACAATCGACGATACGATACATCATTTTCTCCTGATACTGACAACACACTGGCACAGTAGCCACCTGGCTGCCTGCACTTACATGAGACTTACGTTCCAGCCCCGTCTGCTGGGCAGCACGGCCACAGCGGCTGGTCCCCGACGGACGTGCTCGATCCGTCCCTTTTGTCGCCAGCGTCTGCACCATCACAGCCAACAACGGCTCACCGTGTCCAGGCCCGCCCGTCCGCCGTCCATACGATGGCAGCGTGCGTATTCCAGCAGCAGGCCATGCTTGGGCCCGGCCCAGCCTGCAGCAGCGCCGTCGCCACCACCGCCTCCGCCACAACCATCCAAACGGCGCCGCGCCATCGTCCTCGGGTCGCTCGCCGTCCTTGTCGGCGGCACGGTCTACTGGGCCACCGCGGGCAGCGCGTCCGGCTCGTTTGACGACAACGGGCAGCGGCGCCTGGCAGCGGGCGGCCGCGGCGGCCTCAACACGGAGACGTTTGTGTCGTTTGCCGTCGTGGCGCGCGACCGTGTGTCGCCGACGGCGTTTGTTCTGACGCTGCGGCTGCTGGCCGAGGACGGCGTGGCGCGGACGGCGACGGCGGCGGCGATCGCGACGGCCTGGCAGCACGGGCTGTGGTCGGTCGAGGTCAAGCAGCCGCAGCTGCAGATTGCACGGGACTACACGCCGCTGCCACGGGTGGTGGGCGAACACGGCGAACACGGCGAACACGGGCAACACAGCGCGGACGGCACAGAGATCCGGCTGTTTGTACGCGTGGTGCCTGGCGGCGAGGTGTCCAAGTACCTGTCACGACGGGCCGTAGGGTCGACGGTGGATGTGCGCGGCCCGCGCCTGAGTTTCGACGTGGCGGCGAGGATGGGGGGCGACGGCGACAGCGACAGACAGGTCGTTGTGCTGGCCGGCGGGACGGGCATCTCTACGGCACTACAGGCGGCCAAAGCTGTCCTGGGACGGGGCGCGGCAGTCTCCATCCTCTGGGCGAACCGCCAGGCAGACGACAGCATCGGCGTAACCGCGACGATCGATGCCAAGGAGGCGAACCCGATTGTCCGCGACATCAAGGCATTGCAGACGCGTTACGGCGCCGACCGCTTGCGTGTGCTGAGCTTTGTGGACGCGCAGCAGACGTGGATTACAGAGCCGGCGGTTCGGCAGGCCATTGCGGGACCCAACGGCAAAAGCAGTGGACGCTCATGGTACTGGCCATGGGGGAGGCAAGAAACGACGAGCTCGGCCACCACACAGCCGGACACGACCGACCCGTCCTGCGTCTACCATTCGGCACGGACACTAGAGCGGCTCGACGCCGACGTGTTTCGCGGGTCCACCACGACCAGGACGTGTTCTTGTGGTGCTGGCAGCGCTGGCAAGAATCTGGTGCTGGTGTCTGGGCCGGACGGATTTATTGCGGCCTGGGCGGGTGCCAAGACGTGGGCGGGCGGACAGGAGCAGCAGGGACCGTTGGGCGGCATTCTGGGCCACATGGCGGCGCGCGATCCGGAGACGTTTGCGCGCTGGCAGGTGTTGAAGCTATAGGAACGGGCACGAGCAGTCACAGGACGGTGTACATATAGAGGTGGAAACAAGGTTGATAGAAAGGCTGAGGAGGCCAGACGACAAAGTGACCTGTATATAATAAGGAAAAAATAAATATCAAGCAAAAGGACTCAAAAGGACTGCAACGACAGAATACAGAACCACAGCTGACCGTGAGATATTTTGATGCAAGACAAACAGAGAACCAGAAAAGAAAGGAGAAAAAAGAAACAGAAAAGAAAAATACAGTCGAAACAAGTACCTAACGCCTACCCAGCAACAGCAGACACAGACTTCACTAGATGCTCTGCACCTTGCGGTACGACGGCGGCTTCATCGTGCGCCGGATCAGCTTGCCGGCGTACGGCGGGACCAGCGAGATGGCGCAGATGGCCACGACGCGCCACAGGAAGCCGACGCTCAGGACAAACTGCAGGTCAAAGTAGCCGCCCAAGAACGGCAGGGACCCGACGTACAGCAGAAACGTGCCCACGATGCACGCAATCATGACGGGGTGCCACGTGGTAATCTCAATGGCGACCATCAGCAGCTCGTTGAGCACCAGCGCCGTGTAGCTGACGGCGACCATCTGCGGGCCGTCGACCTCGGTCAGCAGCTGCGCCAGGCCCTGGATCATGGCGCCCTGGTAGACGGAGACAAAGACCCAGACGAAAAAGGTGCGGTACGACAGCGAGCGGCCCTCGGTCAGCTCCTTGTAGAGCTCCGGGTACAGGTTGGCGAGGTCCTCGTCGACGTCCTTGTCCAGCACCAGCGACAGCACGGGCAGCGCCGTGTACACCGTGGCGTAGCCGACCATCAGCCAGTCGATGTAGAGGCCCTCGGGCTCGAAGCGGATGGCGATGCTGAACATGGTCTGGCACACGGCCACAATGAGCCCGCGGTGGATCACAAACTGCGCCAGCTTGGCGCTGCGCTTGTAGCTGTTGCGCCCGTGCCACACGAGCAGCTTCGTGAGGTGGCAGAACTGCGTGATGGAAAAGTCGGCCGCCAGCGACGCCTGCCGGCCCTCCTTGCCCACGATGCCCACGCCCACGTCCGCCGCCTGGATCATCGACACGTCGTTGCCGCCGTCGCCGATGCAGCACACGCGCTTGCGCGTGTGCGCCTTGATGAGCTGCGCCACGTCGGCCTTTTGCGTCGGCGAGCAGCGGCACGCCACCACCGTCGGCAGCTGCACGGCCGCGGCGATGAAGGCCGTGCGCAGCGGGCCCGCCAGAAACAGCGCCAGGCTCTCGCCGTCAATCAGCAGGCACGCGTCCGTCTTGGCCCGCAAGAAGTCGAGGTGGTCCTGCTGCGCCGCGGGGCCGTCGCGCTTCGTCATCTTGGCCACCGTGTACACGTACTGCCCGCGCGCGACCAGCTTGGCGCTGATGGCCACGCAGCGCGCCGTCTCGACCTTGTCGCCCGTCAGCATCCAGATCTTGATGCCCGCGTTGCGCAGCAGCTCCAGCGACGGCTTGACGTCGCGCTGCAGCTTGTCCTCGACGCCCGTGACGCCGAGCAGCTCTAGGTCCGCCTCCAGCAGCGACCCCACCACCCGCTGCAGGCCCGCGTCGCGCCCGCCCGTCATCGCCAGCGACGCCTCCTGGTACCGCGCCGCAAACGCCCGGTACTGCGCCGCCGACAGCCGCTTGCGGCCCACCACCAGCGTCCGCAGGCCCTCGCGCGCCATGTTGGCCGTCTCCTCGTCGAGCCAGTCGTTGGCCGCCACAATCGCGCCCATCACCGTGTCCGCGCCCTTTTCGTAGAACCAGATCTCGCCGTCGTCAAGGGATGGCGCTGCTTTCGCTGCTGCCGGCGTCGTGAGGAACTGCACCACAATGCCCATGCGCTTGCCCTCGGACGTGAACGGGAAAATATCCAGGATGCGCACCTGCACCACGGTGCGCCCTGTCGCCGTCGACACCAGCGTCATGCCCTGCCGGTCGCGCGCCGCCAGCCGCAGCCCCACCGCCTCCGTCCACCGCACAATCGCAATCTCGTCGGGCGACGACGCCTGGTACGACGTCTCCGTCGCGCCGCCCGCGCCGTCGTCGTCCGTCGTCGGCGTCACGTTGTGGCAGAGCGCCAGCGCGAGCACAATGTCGCGCACGCGCGTGCCGATCTCGCGCCGCGTGCGCGTCGCGCCGCCCGCCGCCGCCGACGCGCTGCCACCCGGGCCCAGGGCCACCGTCGACGAGGGCGTGACCAGCGTGTCCGCGTCGGGCGCGCCAAACCCCTGCCGCACGTACGCGGCGACCTCGTCCATGGCCTCGTTGGCGTACGACACCGTGCCCACGTGGATCTTCTTCATCTCCATGTCGTTTTGCGTCAGCGTGCCCGTCTTGTCGCTCAGCAGGTACTCGATGCGCCCCAGGTCCTCGGGGATCGTGCTCGTCCGCACCACCGCGCCCGGCATCCCCGGGTCGCGCTGGATAAAGTACGAGTACACGCTCTTGCCCAGGTCCAGGTTGACGCGCAGGCTAATGGGCACAATCGTCGAGAACAGCACCAGGAACCGCATGATCTGCACATACCAGACCAAGTTGCCGGGCGCCGTGCTGTCGCCGTTTTTCTTGCCGCCGCCGCTGCCCACAATGCCCTCTTCAATGGCCACCAGGATGATGGACAGGGCCAGCGTCAGCGCGCACAGGATCTTGGTGAGCGAGTTGATCTCGTACTCGAGCAGGCCCGTCTTGGACCGCGACGGTGCCGTCGACAGCGCGGACCGCGTCTGCGGGCCCGTGTACACAATGACCGCCAGCGTCGTCGCGTGCGACGCAATCACCGTGTTGGCCCAGGCCGTATTGTCGATGGAGAGTGCGGCCGATGGTTTTGTCGGCTGTCTGTCGTGACCCCCATCCCCCTCGCCGTCGTCGTCGTTGTTGTTGTCACCACGCTCTGCCTCGTCGTACGCGCCGTCGCCCTCCTCCGGCAGCAGCTCGATCGTGCCCAGAAACTCATTGACCTTCTTATCCGGCTTGCCGCCCGTCACCCGCAGCCGCACAAACTCCTCCGTTGCCAGGCTCTGCGACAGCGGCGACGCCAGCCGCAGCTTCCAGTCTGTCTCGCCGTCGAGCTGGTCGGTCCGAATAAACGTCTCACCGCCCGCGTTGTTGCCGCTGTCCGTTTTCGCGTCCTGGACAGCGTCGGCCGTGGCCGCCGCTGCCAGGGCTGTGTCCTCGTCGTCGATAAGCAAGTTGGCCTCGGCCGGTGGACGCGCTTCGTCTTCGTGGCCCGTCGCCGGGTCGTCCTGCGCGTGTGCGTCCTGGGACAGGCACTTGAGAATCACCACGTCGGCCGGCACGCGCTGGCCTTTGCTGAGCTTCAGCACGTCGCCCACCTTCAGGTCGCGTGACTTTTTGGGAATCTCGACAACGCGCGACGTGGGGACGGCGCTGTTCCGCCGCCCACCGCGGCCGGCGCTCTCCAGCTGCTCCTCCTCCTCTTGAATGTCCGACAGCCGCGCGCGGTCCTCTTGTGCCACCGCCAGCAGCCTGCGCCGCTGCGCCTTGGTGGACGCGTCGGACCGCAGCCGCTTGCGCTGGCCGCGCAGCGCGCCTGCGGCGCCGCCCCCCGTGCGTCCGAATCCGCTGCTGTCCAGCCCGCCGTGCACGGGGTCCACAAACTGCAGCGTTGTGTACGGCTCCGCGTTGGCCTCGTTGTCTCGCCGCCGCCGCTCCACGTCGTCGTACGCCTCCTTGCCGAGCGTAATGACCAGCACAAACGCCAGCGGCGCCACGTACGTGCTCAGATAGCCGATGCGCAGCGCCGGGATCGCCTGGGACAGCGCCACCAGCAGAAAGTACATGTTGAAGAAGAAGGAGAACTCGTTGTATAGTGTGACCGGCAAGAACGACCACGCCGTGTATTTGGCGTTTGAGATGAGGTTCGGCGGGAAGCGCGTCGCCTGCGCGGCGCCAACCGCCACGACGCGCGACGCGGACGGGTCGTCGTCTTCTTGTTCGTGGCTGTGGCCCGGGTCGTCGTCGTCGCCGAGGGCCATGTTGTTGACGCTGCTCGAGCTCGACATGAAGCTGGGCAGCCGCAGCCGGCCCGTCAGATTCTGCAGCGTGTCCTGGGCAAAGGACCGTCGCCGCCGGCGGCCACTACCACCGCCACTGCCATTTAGTAGCCCGTCGTCCTCGGCGTTGGCGTACGAATCCCGCCGCGCCGGCGACCCCTCGTCGTCGTCCGCCAGCAGGCCGCGTGCATCGTCGTCATTGTCGTCGTGGGACCGCCGGCCATCCCGGCCCAGCTCGCCGTAGCCCCGGCCGCGCTTGCCGGACCGTCGTAGTCCGCTCATGCGGAGTGTTCGCAGCGCGATGTTGGCTGGCCGTCCGCTTTGGCTCTGGTGGCTTGGATGGGCGTGGCTCGAGCTGCCCCCGCCAGATGTGTCCCCCGCCAACGGGGTCGTCTTGGGGTCGAGCTCGTCGAGGTCGAGGTCGAGGTCGAGATCCGAGTCGGAATGGTCGGACGGGGAATCGGGCGGCTCGGTCGGGTGGTAGGCGGGTGGGGGAGGCATCCCGCCGGTGCTGAGGTGGAGGGAGAAGGAAAGGAGTCGAACGAGCGGCTGTGGCCTGCCGCTATAGATCGACGCTCGTTGGTGTCGTGGTTGTTGCGGTTGTCAAAGAAATCAAAAGAAGCAAAAATAAAAAAAGGGAGGATCGCGAGATCGAGACACTCAAAGCATCGACCGCCCGGCCATGGGTCGACGGCTGTGCTGTCCCGATGCTACAGTCAGTGGAAACCAAAGAGTCGACGCTTGTTTCTGCCCGACGCCGGTCCCGTGGTGCAGACTTGTGTTGAGGTGGCCTGTCGCCGTCGTGGATGCACATGTGATAGAAAAGGAGGAATAGTCGTGATTTAGTTGGAGGTTTGCTGGGTCTGTTATTCGGCCGCCTAGCAGGCGAACGCACCTGCCCCAGCCTGGGCTAGTGGACAATATGGCGGCCTGCGTCATCAGCCAACGGCCGCCACACAGCGCTGGAAGAGCGCTAGAAAGGGCCCCACAAGAGCTGCATGATAGGGGATGGTCGGCCTTATCAGACACTGGAATTTGCTGGAGAGACGCGGACGAAGCATTATGTAGCTTCCTGCGTAAAATATAAGGCTAGGTACTCCGGACTTGCCTCCCGTTAGGTGCATCCGCCACAGCATTGCTCTAAGCGATCCTTCCTCGATGAGGACAACTGGCGATTGGGAAGGGGACACCCAGAGCTCCTGCCTTGCAGCGCGCGGACGGCCTGTTGTTTCCACCTTCCCTGCTTTCCGGACGCCCCAAACAACGCCCAAACGTCCCGAAAGAGGACACAGCGACCCAGGTGTGCCTGCCTCCGCATCCATTCCATCATCGTGGCTTGTTTCCCTGTTCCCTCGGCACAATCGGGGGCCGCGAACTACTTTCCTGCTTTGCGTACATCTCCTTTTGCCTCACTTTTGTTCTCCTCCTTTTCCATTCCCTAATTCAACCTCCCCATCCCCTCGACCCTATCAGCACGCCAGCGTCCTAATACAAGCCCGGCCCCTTCCCATACCAAGATGACGTGCGCTGTCTGGCTCTAATCTCACCCTGTCGTGCTCGCCCCTATTAAATACAGCACAGTAGCTCAGTAAATAGGTCAGTTCCAACAGGCTGCTTTTTCTCTACGCTTTCCCTTGGGCCCATGTCGCCTCTTCTCATTTAACTTGCTGTCCACTTTTATCCTGCGCGTCCCTTTCCTAGCTCCACCCCTGTCAAGTCGTCGCAAAACCTCCTTTTCGAATTTCTCCTACCGTTTTTTCTCGAGTTTTCTCGAATTTTTGTTCATTTTTCATTTTCGGTGTCTTTGGCCGTGCCGTTTTCCGTGTTCGATTTCTGACTGTGTTTTCTCCTCTCGGCGATGGCGCGTTACTGACGACGGCACAGTCCTTTTTGTTTTCCGTTTGCATTCCGTCCCGTCTGCGACACTACACGAACATCCGACGCACGCCATCTAAAGCGCGTCCAGTGAAATCCGCCGCACGCCATGTCGTCCGGCGAGCCGAACGCGGCATGGCACCCGGCCTTTATGCCACACGCTGTCAGCACACCGACGCCGCCGACATCCGCTCCAAGTAAACCTGCGGAACTTACAAAAGCAACAAAGCCCCTGGCCCTGTCCCTCGACCGGGAAGCTACGCCCAACGGCCACGATGACTCGGGCGTCGACGCATGGTTCCCGGAATACGATGCCGGCAGTCCGTGGACCGAGCAGGCACCACCAAACTCGTTGGGTGAAACGTTGGGTGCTGCTCCCGAAGGGGCTCCGGAAGTATCATCAGAGCCGTCTGTCGAGGCAGCTCCAGAGACGGCGCCCAAGCCCCGGGAATCAACACCTGAACCCACATCCACAGCCACCACATCTGCTCCGGCCACCGAGTCCATACCCGAGCCCGCCGCACATGCAGAACCCGCCGAGACCACGCCCGCTGCGTCGTCCGTCGCATCGCCCGTCGGCGAGGTCGCCTCCAAACACTTTAGCACGATATCCTTCACGCGCACCGTCGCCAACGACGTGAACTGGGATGCCGAGGAGGACGAGCCGGAGTGGAACCTCTCGCGCACCGATACAGACCCCTTCCAGCAGTTTATGCCGCCGTCTACGGAGCGCTCCAACTCCTTCCCAGCTGTGCCTCCCCGGGCCGACGCCGAGCAACCTGCGAATGGCCAAGACGAGCAGCCGCCGCTGGCCACGACGCAGGCTACGACGCCGGCCATGGACATCATCGAAGAGGTGGACAGCGACGTCAGGACTGGCGAGCAGAAGGGCGAGGAGGCTGCAGCCGATGCTTTCCCAACTACTGAGGTGGGCGAGGAGCACGTTGAACAGGGCATTGACGCATGGGGCTTGGGTTCTGATGCTGGTGGCGACGCCGAGGACTCGTTCTTTGCTGGGGCCACCGCAGCCGACGACGAGGCGGCAGACGTTGAGACGCCAGCGGGGGAGGTGCCCGATGCGCGATTCGAAGAGGGCGTGCCCCTGATTCCTCACGAGGCGGCGCCCCCAGGAGGTGTCGAACCGGTTGCGGAGCGTGCTGCAGAGCCTAAGCCGCAGACACAATCACAAGCGCCAGAGGCTGCACCCGAAGCGAAAGATCTATTTGGCGAGACCAACGGCGAGGACGAGGAAGACGACTTCTTCAACAACGCCGGTGCCTCGGCTGAGCCCGAGGCCGCGTCCACGACGGCAGCACCACCGCCGGCGCCGCCTGCCGTTGAGCGGAAATCTACGTTCCAGGTGATTCAGTCCTTGAATGTGGGTGCCGGCGAGGAGGAGGAGGACTCCTTCTTTGCGTCTAGGGCCGAAGATGGCACCATCCACGAGGAGCCCGAGCCGATCGAGGACGCGGCCGTGGACAAGACCAACAGTAGTGCGCCCGATCTGGCCGATCAGTGGGCGGCCTTGCTCGACGACGAAGACGAGTTGCTGCTCGAAGACTCGGATCCACCAGAGACGCAAGCGGAGGCGGAGGCGGAGGCGGACGCGCAGCCCAAGGCCCTTGACCCGGCTGCCTTCTTTGGCGACGACGACGAGGGCTTCCTCGAAGACGATGTGGACGGGCCCGCCAGCGACCCTGCCGTACCACCACAGCAACAGACACAGCAGCAGCCACAGCCGGCCGCTCCAAGCAACCGCTACCTGCCCCAGGCGTCGCCAGCCCAGCCACAGCAGACCCAGCAGGCAGCAAACCCCTATCTGCCGACGGCCCCATTCACAGCCGCACAGCCCGTGGTCCCGTCTCCGTACGGCTCCACTGGTGCAGCACCCAGCCAATTTCCCAGCTACGGCTACGGTGCCTCGCCGCAGCAGGCGTCTCCTGCGCAGGACGCACCCCGACCGACCCTCCACAAGGCACAGAGCTTTGCCGACAAGTCCAAGGGCGGCTACAGCTCGCCATATGATCTGCCCATGGACATTGTGAAGCAGCCCAGGAAGCGCCAGAGCATGCAGCAGCTGCAGCAGCAGGCCCCGGCCGCGACGTCCGCACCGCCGCAGGGTCCGCCGCAGGGTCCGCCGCCGAGAAGCTCGAGCATGCAGGTCTACTCGCCCAACAAGGACTCGTTTTCTGCCGTGCCGCCGCCGCCGCCTGCTGTCAGCAACCGTTCCATGGCTCCGCCTGCGGTCCCCGCCGCTGCTGCCTCTGCGGCCGCGTCTGCAGCCAACCCAGCGGCGCTGAAAACACCACCCGTGCGCAGCGACAGCTTCTTCGAAGACCTGCCCATGCTGCCCAAAGTGCGCCCGGCGTCTCGCCACAGCCAGCATTCTCCTACACAGTCCACTCCCTACGGCGTCCCGCCACAGACTCCCCTCACGCCCTCTTATCCACCGCAGGGCCAGAGCCAAGCACCTCCGCCTCCACCGCCTCCTCCACCTTCTCAGGCCACCCCCTACACTCCGGCACCCCAACAGCCGCAGACGCCGTCTGTCCCGCCGCCGAGTGCACATTATGCGCCGCCTGCTGGTACCTCAACGCCTGCTGCGGCTCCTCCTCCGCCACAGCAGCCGGCACAGACCCCCAGCACAGCCATGGGCGGCCTCGTGGCCCCTCCTCGCTCCAACCCCTACGCCACCTTGCAAAACGGCCCACCAGCCGCCACTCCTCCGGCTGCTGGCTCGTCGCGCTACTCACCCTCCCCGAACCAGCTCACCACGCCCGGCACCACCGGTGTTCCCAGCCGCTACTCGCCCGCACCGCCTGCTCGTGTACCGTCGGCGGGCTATGCGCCTGCGCCGACACCGCCCATTCTGGCCCACCAGCCGCGCACATCGAGTCCCCTGGCCCACTTTGAAATGTCCTACGAGAAGCCACGAGCATCGTCCATTGGTAACCAAGTAACGCATGCCGAGGGACAGCAGCAGCTGCTGCATGCTGAGCGCCGCAGCAGCTCCTCTGTGTTTGAATCGCGCCTGAACCGCGTGCCGTCGCTCCCACCCACCCGCGAGGAAGACGAGGAGCCGTCGGCGTCGGCGTCTGCACCCGCACCGCCGCCCCAACAGCGTCCCACGTCGTCGGGCAACGGCGGCGCACATGCCTACCCCTCGGCACCGGGGTCGCAGTCCAGCCAGACAAACCAGTACTCGCCCTTGAAGCCGCGCCAGACACCGCCTCCGCAGCAGCTGCAGTCGCAGTCGCAGTCGCAGTCGCAGACCAACGTCTCCTACAGCCAGGCCACGCTGTCCCCGCCCAAGCGGATTCTCAACTACGCGCCGCAGACCGATGGCCAGCACTCGCCTCCGCGTCGCTCACAGACCCAGTCGCCCGGGGCCCTGTACGGTGGCAGCCGCCCTGCCACGCGAACCGTCGATCCCATCCCGCGCCCCTCGTCTGTTCATGAAGCGATCCCCGCGCCCGCGCGTCCACGGGCCGCGTCGCAGAACCTCAACCTTGTCCCCCCCACCGACGGATCCGAGACCGACCCGCTCCAGCGCTGGAAGGGGGTGCCCGTCTTTGCGTGGGGCGTCGGCGGCACTTTTGTCTCCTCCTTCCCGCAGGACGTGCCGCGCTACGGCATGAACCAGGCCCTGCCCATGATCCACCGCGCGCCCGGCGAGGTCATTGTCAAGAACATCAAGGAGATCCTACCCCTCGACGAGCGCCTGGCCAAGTTCCCCGGCCCTCTCAAGGGCAAGGCCAAGAAGAAGGAGGTGCTCGCCTGGTTGACCGCCGGCATCGAGGCCCTCGAGCGGTCGCTGTCCGCCCACAACAACGCCTTCTCCCTCCACGTGTCGCATGACGACAAGCGCCTGGACGAGCGTGTTCTGCTCTGGAAGATGCTGCACCTCTTCATTGAGCACGACGGCGTGCTAGAGGGCAACCCGGCCGTCGAGAAGGCGGTGCGTGATGTCCTGTCGCCACATGCAGCGGACGCGGCCGCCAATCCGTCTACCTCTGCATCCCTGGCCAGTCCCGGCGTCGGCTACTCCGGCTACCAGGGCACCGCCGGCGCTCAACAAGCACAGGCCGATGCCGTCGACTCGGCCGTGGTTGAGCAGATCCGCAAGAACCTGCTTTTGGGCGAGAAGGAAAAGGCCGTCTGGGACGCTGTGGACAAGCGACTCTGGGGCCACGCGTTCCTCATCGCCGGTGCGGCGTCGCGCGAGCTGTTCAAGAAGGTGGCCCAGGAGTTTGTGCGCAAGGAGGTCAACACCCCGGGCCTCCACAACGAGTCCCTGGCGGCGCTCTACGAGGTCCTGTCGGGCAACCACGAGGAGTGCGTCGACGAGCTGGTGCCCGTCCACGCACGCGCCGGCCTGCACCTCATGGCGACGACGGCGCAAGTGGCCGCGTCGCCGTCCAAGGACGACGAGCTGGCCGGCCTCGACAAGTGGCGCGAGACGCTGGGCCTGGTGCTCAGCAACCGCAGCGTCGACGACGTCCAGGCCATCAACGCCCTGGGGAACCTCCTGTCTGGGTATGGCCGGGCCGAGGCGGCGCATGTCTGCTACCTGTTCTCGCGCAACGCCACCGTCTTTGGCGGCCTCGACGACCCGGCTGCCAACGTCGTGCTCTTCGGCGCCGACCACAAGCGCCAGGCTGACGCCTTTGCCAAGGAGACCGACGCCGTGCTCCTCAGCGAAGTGTACGAGTACGGCCTGTCGCTGACGGGCGCCTCCAGCCTCGGCGCGTCGAGCAGCCCCCACCTGGCCGCGTACAAGCTGCAGCACGCCATGGTCCTGGCCGAGTACGGCCTGCGCGACAACGCCCTGCAGTACTGCGAGTCCATTGCCGGCGCCATGGGCGCCCAGACGCGCCGCTCGCCCTACTACCACCCGCTGCTCGAGACCGCCGTCGAGGACCTCACGAAGCGCCTGAAGCAGGCGCCCAAGGAGGAGTCCAACTCGTGGATTCCCAAGCCCAGCATGAACAAGGTCTCCGACAGCGTCTGGAACCGCTTCAACAAGTTTGTCGCGGGCGACGACAACGAAGGCGCGGGCGCCGGTCCCGACGGCGAGGCTGGCGCGGAGAGCGGGCCCTTTTCACGCATTGCCGGCGGCACGCCCACCATCAGCCGTCCTCCCTCGGCCGGCGGCGGCATGGGTGGTGCTACGGGGATGGAGATGTTTGGCGGCCAGAACAACAGCAGCCTGCAGGGCCCCAGCTATGGTGTCCTCAATGGCGCCGCCAACGGCATGCCTACAGCAGCGCCGCCCCCCTCGACCTTGCCGCCGACACGCGCTGCGTCTCGCTATGCACCAGGCGGTGCTTCTGCTACTGCCGCTGCCAGCCAGCAGCAGCAGCAGCAGCAGCCCGCCCAGACAGTCCCCATCGCGGCTCTCGCCTCGCCGCCCGCCATTCACAGCCCCTACGAGCCACAGGGCGGCTACACGCCACTGGGTGTGTCGCCTAGTGCTGTGATTGCGCCTGCTTCGGCTGCGCCGTCTCTCAACCCCTACGAGCCGGCCACGACGTCGTCGTCTGTCTACGCGGCCCCGTCGTCTCGTCGCGTGTCGTCTGAGCAGTCTGTGTCGGGCGACGCTCCGTCCGCTGCGCCACTGGCACCACCACAAATGCCGACCCTGGCGCGAAAGGCCTCGGAGATGTCGCTGGGCAGCTACAGCCGCCCTGGCCTCTCGCGGAAGTCGTCGTACGCTCCTCTGACCAATGCCGAGCCCACACCGCCGACATTGCCGACCGAATCCTCGTCGTACAGCGCGTATGCGCCTCCGAGTGAACCGGCCGCCAATGGCTCTGCCTCTGCGTCACCGTATGCCCCGGCAGCGTCGCCGTACACGCCTGCGGCCGCCACCGAGCCGGCGACGGCTGACGAGACGACGGCGCCCAAGGAGGAAGAGCCGGCCGCCGACGAGGCTGTTCCCTCCTATGGCTACCAGGCGCCGTCGTACGGCTACGAGCCTCCGTCGATGTCGTCGTTTGAGCCCGTCTCCGACGAGCCTGCTGCCGCCACGACCGGCGCGTCGGCCGAGGATGGCGCGAGCGAGCACCTCAATGGGAGCACCAACGGCTACGAGCCCCCGTCGTTCCAGGCCTACGGCTACGAGCCACCATCGTACGAACCTGTCGATGCGGAGGGCGGCGCTGAAGGTGGAGACGACGAGGCGTCTGCGCCGAAGCCAAAGCCCAAGAGCTTCATGGACGACGAGTTCGGCGACGACATCTCCGCTGCCCCGGCGCCCAAGCCGACGGCGGCGGGGAAATCGCGTGAGGAGAAGGACCGGGAGAATGCCGAGATGTTCCGCAAGATTGCGGAAGAGGAGGGTAAGTCATGCACGCACGCACGCACGCAAGCAAGCAAGCAAGCAGAATGTCAGCATCACTAACATATGTGCAGCCAAACGTGCGGCGGCTGAAAAGGAGGCCAAGGCCAAGAAGGGCTGGGGCCTGACGTCGTGGTGGGGCAAGAAGGACGCCGGCGGTCCTGCGGGCGATTCTGGCAGCGGCGGCAGCAGTGGTGGCAGCGGCGAGCCCCCCAAAGCCGTGCGCGCCAACCTGGGCGAGAAGAGCTCGTTCTATTTTGATCCGGAGCTGAAGCGCTGGGTCAACAAGAACGCCAGCCCCGAAGACCAGGCGGCCAAGGCGACGCCGCCGCCGCCGCCGCCGCGGTCCAACCCGCACTCGGCGGCGTCGACCCCGGCGCCGCCGTCGTCCGGTATCGGCTTGGCGCCACCGCCGCCGCTGCCGACGTCGGTGCCGCCCCCATCGGGCAGCGCACCCCCCGTGATGCCCCCCGCCATGGCGCGCACGTCGTCGACCGCCAGCGCGGCCAGCGGCCCGCCCAGCCGCCCGGCCACGAGCATGAGCGACGCCAATAGCATTGACGACCTGCTGGGGGCGGCGCCGGGTCCGCGCAAGGCGGGCGCCAAGAAGGGCCGCAAGAGTGGGCGGTACGTGGATGTGATGGCCAAGTAGGGGCGGGCGTGCTTGTTGCTTTTGTTCATTTTGCTTCTTGTCTTTTTTCCCTGTTTATATCTCGTTTAATTTTTGTGTTGTTGTCGTCTGTGATGGAGCGGCGTTTCTTGTTCGACCTTTATATTTTCTGCCTTCTTCGTCTCTCTTCATTTTGTACAAAATGGGCGTTTATACTTGTAGACGAGGGAAGCATACATTATCCTGTTGTACTATCATATATTCCATATTCTGCACACTCCAAAGTACATTTACCTGAGCATCACGATTCGACAAGTACGACATACACCATGACCTTCACAAGTCACCTGATGGAGTTTGCGTTATAATTTTGTACATTGTATTTGATACCAAAATGGAAACAGTTTGCATTTCATTCATGACGTTTTCATTCCCAACTTTTCTTGTATTGGGAGAGTCCTTTCGCCTTGTTTGGCTTCCTCGCCACCACACACACCACACGCTTATTTCTTCTCGCGCTGGCCGTAGGCCTTGGTGGCGTAGTCGCCGCCGTGGACAATCAGGTCCTGGGGGCGGTAGTCGAAGCGGCCGCTCAGGTAGCTGTCGAGGATGGCCTTGGTGCCGTCGGCGTAGCGCTTTTGGGCGTCGAGGGAGGTGCCGGACACGTGGGGGACCATGGCGTTGCCGCCGCCAAAGGGGTTCGTGGCGTAGCGCAGGGGGTGGTCCTTGGGGGCGGGCTGGGGGAACCAGACGTCGCCGCCGTAGCCGCGCAGGTGGCCGCTCTTGAGAGCCTCGGCGACGTCCTCCTTGACGACAATGGCGCCGCGGGCCGTGTTGACGAGCCACGAGCCGGGCTTCATCTTGGCAATGAGCTCCTTGTTGAAGAGGCCGCGGGTCTTCTCGTGCAGGGGGCAGTTGATGGTGACGACGTCGCACTGGGCGACGAGCTCCTCGAGGGTGTCGACGCGGCGGCAGCCAATCTCCTTCTCGACCTCGGGGCGCAGGGGCTGGTAGTCGTAGTAGAGCAGCTCCTTGCAGTCAAAGGGCTTGAGGCGGCGCAGGACGCGCTCGCCGATGCGGCCGACGGCGACGGTGCCGACGACCTTGCCCTCGAGGTCGAACTCGTTCTTGGCGGCCTCGGCGACGTCCCAGTCGCCGCGCACAATCTGCTCGTGGGCGGGGACAAAGTTGCGGACGAGCAGCAGGATGGTCATGACGACGTGCTCGGCGACGGAGACGACGTTGGAGCCGGTGACCTCGGCGACGGTGATGCCGCCGTTGGTCTTGTTGGCGGCATTGAGGTCGACGTGGTCGGAGCCAATGCCGGCGGTGATGGCGAGCTTGAGCTTCTTGGCCTTGGCGAGGCGCTCGGCGGTCAGGTAGCCAGGATGGAAGCTAACCGGTTAGTGGACTTGAGTGTATACTACATCTACATAAGCAAGTCACTCGGTAGACTCACGGCGTTGTGATGATGACCTCGGCGTCCACCAGCTCCTTGTCGAACGTGGAGCCCTCACCCTCCTTGTCGGAGGTGGTGACCAGAGTGTGGCCCTGGTCCTCGAGCCACTTGCGGATGCCGAGCTCGTTCTCGGTCGTACCGAGAAGCTCAGGGACCTATTGGGAGGGGGGAAAGAAACAGTTAGCTGCTGTTGCATGCTTCAATATACGCAAAGTGTACAGGGCAGGTCGTGCTTGTGAAGGATTGGCTGTTGTCGGGTTGTTTTATCCGCGGGCGGCAGGGAGAAATGTTTAAGTGGACCACTTTGGGGGTAGCTTGGAGGAGCTATGGCGGCTTGGGGATGGTTTGGAGACCAGTAGCTCAGAACTGCCGTTGGGACTGCTCGTTGTACTTTGGTCGCCTCGCATCCCGACAGCGCATTGCATCTGACACGAAGCTGCCGCCAAGACGGCAGGCAGTGTACCCCGCTGGCGAATGGGACGAGAGAATAGACAGTGACAACAGGAACAGAAGGGAGAGCTTACCTCCTCAGCGTGCTTGCCGCCGTCGTAGAGAACGAGGAGAACCTTGACCTATTCAAGCTGTTAGTTGCTGGCCAGCGCAGTACAATAGGGAGAGGAGCTTTACCATTTTGAACGTGTGAGGGGGATGGTTGTGATGTCCGGGAGGGTATTTGGTATGAGGCCGAAGAGGTGGTGGTGTAGAGTGAAGCTGAGAGTTGGAGACGCGATGTAAAGTGAACAGTAAGGAACAGGAACAGAACAGGAGCACAAAGCAATGGGAAAGAACTGGGGGAATGAGTTGCTTTATACCAGAGAAGGAGCTCTTTGGGGCTTTGGGGGGGAAGGAATACTTCGGCGATCGTCACCAACAGGGCAAGAGCGAAGCAAGTGAGGAAGAGGGGGCAGGAGACAATGAAACGGTACTGCAAAAGACGGGCCTACGGGTCGATCATGGCAGGAGCCACCGTGTGCATGTTACTCCTACGGAAAGTGCTTCTGAAGAAGGCAGGATGGATGGTCATTGATCTAGTACTTTCGTGCCCGGGAAGGGGGTTTGTCGGAGAAGTGGACCTTCCCCCCGAGAGGTGCACAAGAGAAAGAGGCAAGAGCGCGCGAGGGAGACACCGGACGCAGCGGGTACAAAGGGCACAGAGCGCACAGAAGGCACTTAAAGGGGCGAACAAAACGGGCAATGACGCAGCGTCAGAGCTACGACAACTCAACAAGAAGGAGCGATCACTGCATGGCCTTGCACTACGCCATACAAGGAAGTTACGATCTGTCAGAGTAAAGCGAAGCACGATTGTCCGCTGAAGAGAGTACTGTTGAATATCAATGCATCATTGGTGTTTTGAAGCCCATAATGCGGCAGAGGTCTAGAACGAACTGTGCCGGAGGGGTTTGCTTGTTCGGTAGTGTCAAGGCGATTTGGCTGGGCCCGTTTTCTGGCGGACGCAATCATAAAGCCGAGAAGGAAGCACGGAAAGAAGGCATTAGGTTGGTAGCGAAACGGAGGCCGGTTTGGTCCTATTTCAGTAGCTACGACAGACGACAGACATGGGATCAAAAGGGTAGTCGCCGTACGTAGCAAGAACGATCCGAAACGGGCATTTCGTACGAGGAAAGAACTAGAAACGGTCACGGATAGCGTTTACAAACGATTCGGCTGTCCGCTCGGCAAGGGACCTGGGGACCTTTGGGGAAGCTAGCTAGTATGGAGCCTGATGAGACATTCTTTGGACAGAGAGCGACAGTCGAACAAGACCATGAACGGCCAGTTTGTGGTCGTGTCCCGCTGACATGATGGTCGTGTGGTCGTCGTGCGTTAGGTGGTGCCTTCTCGTTTCCTCAGTCTCCCCTGCGCTCCTTCCCCATAATACATGCATGTGTACGAAATAGGAGCCCCGCTTATGATGTAAAACGGAGATGCGTCGGCGGAGGCTCGGGATCGAAGGCCACGCTTGTACCAGAGCGATGTGGGGTAGCATAAGCGCATGGCAGCTGCGAGTAGTCCATGGAAATGTGGGGCATTTGGGGCGGACGAGAGGGAGCTACACGTCCAGTCGCCAACAACCGTCCAGTGCTTCTCCTCTTTTGGTCATCATCTAATAAAAGCAACGGCCACGCATTTGGGTGTACAGTATGTGTCGTTGACGTGGTGTGTATACAGAAACCAGTTGTGGATGTACATCATGCACAGCACACGGCAGCCAATAACCCAAAAGAGGGGAAGTTGAGCCGTGTCGACAAAGACAATGCAGGAGGGAGGGGAAACAGCATGTACAGTCAGATAAGTACATTGTGTGAACGGACTCGAGATGGTGTGAAGCGGGCAGTGAGGGGAATAGCATAAAGTGAGCTAAGACCGTGTGATTACGTCGATGAACAATACGAGGACGGTGGCAGCTGGGCAGCTGGGAAGGACGTGAAGGGCCATGGATCGTTCCTGATTCGGCTTTTGCATCAGCCAGTGATGGTAAGGCATTTCCCGGTGATTGAGTACTGATGGACATGAAAACATCATACATCGAGAGCATCATTGGTGACAGTTGGTAGGAACGGATGAACGGATCAGATGGGATGTCTCTTAAAACAATGGTCTCCAAGGACGCATGCGCGGCGGTTCGTCTCGTAATTCATGTTGGATATCGGTCCTGGACCTGTTTTGGCCCTGTTTATCCCCGTGTAGCGCACGCTCGGATCTGTATCGTTCGTCGTGAAGCAATAAACGGACGGACTTGGCTCGGCGAGATGGCAAGACCGGAATGCACGCGAGCCTTTCTGTAACGCACGCCTGGTCTTGCAGAGGCCTTCTCTATGCCGCGGCAACAAAAATCGAAAATCCTCCGACAGCCTCGTGTCTGCTGGGACTGTTTTCGTCGTGTCCAAGCAAGATCGCCCTAGTCTCGGAGAGATGCTATTGACGAGTAGAGGTCAACGTCCTCGACGCAATGTCCCGTCGTTGACATCCGCGAGGCAGGCATCTTTTGCGCTGCTCGCTGGCCCTTCGTCCCGGGGTCGATCCGTCCGATCCCAAATCCGGCTGTGTACCTGCAGCCAGGATGCATCTAGCGGACTATTCTCGCAGGGCGGGCAACTTCGGTGGCACGTCGTACAGGTACTGTTCGAGATGCGGTGTCCACAACAAAACGAACGAACGACATTGGTCGGTCGCTCGGGTTGTTCTCGCAGAGTGGGGTGTCGCGCGGGCCTCTTTACAACGCCTTCTGCACCAAATCGACCACGTCAAAGTAGACGGCCTGTGCCTGGGCATCGTTTGTGGCGCTTCCCCTGCTCCCACTGGGCCCGGCCAAGCCCAACCCCACCACCAGCGTCCGCGTCTCGCTCGGGTCCCGCAGCGCCACCAGACTGCCAATCTGCGCGGCCACCAGCTGGCCAAACGTCTCGCGGGCCTCGCCACCGGCCCCAAAGAGCGTGCGCGGTGTCAGGTGGGTGGAGGGGAGCAGGCCTGTCGCGGGATTACTGCCACTGCGGACGCCGAGCGAGAGGGCGGCGTCAACAGAGGCGGCAGACGGGGCGGACAGTGGTACTTGGATCTAGGCGGTTCCGTTAGCGAAATCATACGGGTAGAAGCGAGAGGCCACAAACAGCGTGAGATTAGAGATATAAATGTACCCATTGGGCAAGACGTCCCGACTGGGAGACGAGGACAAGAATCTTGTCGCGAAAGTAGGAGACCTCCGCCTCCGTAGGCACGCCGTTGACTGTGCCGGTGGCAGTCTTTGTCTTGGCCGGGTAGGGTGCCCCGTGGACAGGCTTGGAATCAGGTGTAGCAACGTCAGCCATGGCGTGTATATGTGTGTGGTTGCTCCGGTGGTGCTGGGGTTGATGTTGTGTCTATGTTGTGTGAAGGCAAACGTGGTGAACCCCACTAGAGCGATGTTTGGCGGCATCCGAGTATGCACCTATGGGGGCGGATGCTGGACCCACTTCAGCGTCGCACCTTCCTGTCAACAACTCACGAGTATGGCAGGAACTTGCAAGACGAATAAGGCAGGATGCCAGTTTCTTTACTAGAGATGACAATTAATGGAGATATTCTCGTCGTTATATAAAGCGGCTCAGAACGGCCACAATGTTCCCCAGCATTGCGAGGAAGACTGCATTTATGAGATTGCAAACGACTGGAAAGCGTCAGCCGTGACTTTAAAACGAATTTTAAGCGCTCTCAACAGAATAGTCAACACATCTCTGATGTGACGAGTACATCACAAAATAAAAGAAAGTCACAATTCTCCTTCATTTTAGGACCCAGGGGTATTCGAAACCCCGACTTTGGAATCTGCAATCCCTCGCTATATTAGTGAGCTACACGTCCAGAAGGGAAAACGAGCTTCATTCGCGGCACCGAGCTTCCTCAGGCCGCTTTAGTACATAAAAGGAGAGCATGCGAATCGGTTTGGTCTCTACGGTCCTGGATCGGAAACGCAGCCCTCACAGGTAGACAATGGCAATGGCGCTGTCGGGAATCGTCACCGTCGCTTGGCCGTTGGACACGCTCACAGTCACCGTCGTGGACTGCACGCCCGTCACCTCCTTGCCCAGGCTGGCAAAGGTCCACTGGCTGCCACCAAACGTCGTGTGGTCGGCGTTCTGCACGGCCCCGCCGGGGTTGGTCAGGTACTTGACCGTGGCGGACGTGAGGGACGCCGGCAGACCGCTGACAGTCACCGTCTGGCTGGGCCGGCTGCCGCCCACAGAGAGGTCCCAGTAGTTGAGGTTGCAGAGGGCGACGCGCGCGGGCGTGTTGGAGCTGCTGCCCGCGTAGGCCACGTAGGCCGAAAAGGCGGTGCCGTCGTTGTTGCCGGGCGCAATCTCCACCACCTTGGTCGTGCCGCCGGTGCCGATGAACTCGGCCGCCGTGATGAGCGCATAGTAGATGTTCTTGGTCTGGGCGGGCACGGTGCTGCTGCTGCTGGGCTGCCACACGTTCTGGTTGGAGTTGTACACCTGCTCCCAGTTGACGGCGGCCACGCCGAGCGTCATGGCATAGAGCATAAAGTCGACGCCGTACAGCGCCGTCGAGAAGGCGTACGCCAGCGTCTGGTTGCTGGTGCCGCCCGTCTGGATGTTGATCTCGTCCAGATAGTACTTGACCTGCCCGTTCTTGTAGCTCTTGAAGAAGGCCGCATACGGCTGGATGCGCTTGTTGGCGTCGGCGACCGTGTTGGAGTGCAGGATCATGTGCGCCGGCACGCACGGGTTGCCGACGCAGCGGTACCAGTGGTCCACGGCATACTTGATGTTGCCCGTGGCGTCAAAGGTCGTGTTAGCAAACAGGTCCGGCGCCGTCCAGTCCGTCGACTGCTGGTCCTCGCCAGCAAGGCCGGGACCGGCAAAGATGGGTCCGCTGGGGATGGACGCCGCCTCGGACACATTGGTGGCAATGCTCTGGAAGCGCGTAGCGAAGCTGCGAGGTGTTGGGTGTTAGCATGCCTTTGGGAGGCGGCTTAAAAGCCTCAGAACGTGCTGGCGGTCCATGCTGTGCATACTATTGGGCGCCGGTCGCGGACGGACCCGTGTGACCGCCGTACTCGTTCGGCTCGTTGCCGATCTCGATGGCACCAATGTTGTCCAGGCCAATCGCCGATACAATGGACTGCGCGTTCGCCTCGGCGTGGGCGGGCACCGTGTCTGTATAGGAAATCTGCGGCACCCAGAGCGCGTTGATCGGCGCCAGAAGCTTGGTAAGCGGCCAGAAGTTGGGGCCGATCGTCAGCGAGCCGGTCTGCGACGTGCCCGGAGCGGGCGAGATGGGCTGGGTAAGAGCCGAGTTCCAAGTCACGGTGTCACTGAATGGGGGAGGGGGATGCATGTCAGTACGAATTCGGGAATATAATACGCTTGTCCCGTAGAAACGTACCCCGTTGTGCCGCCGACTCGCAAGAGAGGCCGTCCGCCGGTGCGCTTATAGATTTCCTCAATCAGATTGATCGAGTACTGGTTGGCCGACGAATCCGTGGGGCTTTCTTTTCAAGGGGAGTATGGTCAATGACAAGAACGCCGAAGCGAACGAGAAAGAGGGCAAGCCCAACCTACTCTGGCAGTAGAGAGAAAACGTGCTGAGCTCAAAGCTGACGCCGGGAAACGACGGGCTGATGAGAACAGCCGACGCCGGTGCTGACGCTGGAACACTGACGGTCGTTACAGCGCTGGCCCGCGCGGCAAGATGGTCGAGACGCATGGCGGCTGTGCTGGGGCCTGTCTATAGGACGGGCTAGATGGGTTACTAGGGAGGTCGTCTGTCTTGATGATCTGCGATGCTTTGAGAGCACGAGACAGGTTGAGTTCCGGAGCTCTGAAGTTCCCGAGTGAATGAGAGCGTTTATATAGACGCGCCGGCTTGAGGCATTAGCCGTGCGTGAGATTGCGGGGACGAAGCTAAGAGGGTGGAGGAGAGAGGGTCGAGCAGAGCGGAACGTCCAACGTCGTCGAATGTCCGTGGTGATCCTGCCGTACCAGAACTGGCCGTACCGCTAGACAGACGTTTGAACTCGCTTGCAATACAGCAGACGTCCCCGCAACCACAAATGCGTATGTGCTTGGCCGGATGACGTGCCTGGACAGATGATGTACCCCAACGTTTTGGAGATCAGCTTACTCTCTTTTCTATTGCCCGATTCGGATCGGGTGGGTTAGAGCGTTGAGCGGCACGGCGACAGTTAATCTTGGTCTGGTATGGTCGGTCGAGACTCCGAACTGGGATCGGGCCGCACTCGCTTGCTCCCATGTACCCCATGCACTGCTGATTTTCCCCAGACACCCCAACACCCCAGACAGGGACTGAGAACACCCCACGGGGCGCAATAGTCTAGATCGTTGGTAGCGTATTCCAAACGAGCATAATATAAACCAAAACTGTATGCAAAATCAAAAAGTCAAAAAGGTCAAAAAAGTCAAAAGGTCTAGATCCATTTAGTACCCATATCCTCTATCTTGTCTTCGCATAGTTGATCATGTGGTATTTGTCGTTCTCCGCCATGCCTGTTGCTGTATTGCTGCCGTCACATCGTTTATAATCGCGCATTTATAAGTTGGCGTCGATGCCGCCGCCGCGGCGGGCCCAAACGCCGTCAATGCCCATGTCATACGTGCCGTCCTCTCTGGGCACAACGTACGGCTTTTCACCTGGCTGAGGGTTGCGGAACACAATGTTTTTGGTCTGTCGGCTCGGTTAGCATGACTACTCCCCATGGTCGTTTTGCATCGCGGCCCTTGTACGTACCAAGCCCAGCGTCATGTGAATCCCTGCCGGCTCAATGCTCGCGTACGTGTCGAGCGGCTCGTCCTTGAGCAGGTGCTGGATGTTTTGCACCACGACCGTGGCTTGCTTGGCGGCTCTGAACGGTTAGTTGGCGGCACACTTCACACTTGGATGAGAGTCGGTGGGAGAGGGGGGGATGACGCACGGCCTTGCTGCTTTGGGGGCGCCCGAGTCCGCCACGTCGCCAATCGCAAACACATTGTCGAGCGTCGCGTCGTGCACCTGCAGCGTGTCGCGCACGCGCACAAACCCAGACGCGCCGATCGATGACGGCGACAGTGCCGCCAGCAGGCCCGACTGCGGCGTCTGGCCCGTGCACACAATCACCAGGTCCGTCGCGAGCCGCGCGCCGTCCTGGCACACCACCTCGAGCGGCGTCCCATCGGCGCGAGCGGCCGTACTCACAGTGGGCGACACGACACGCGAGCCCAGCTTGGTGTGGATGCCCAGCTCGGCGAACCGCGCCCTGACGATCGCGTCCAGGTCCGTGTGGAAGCGGTTCATGACCGTCGCGCGCGAATGCACAAGCGTCACGTCTTTGGCGGGGTACAGCTCCTTGATGTCGGTGGCCATCTGCACGCCCACGGCGCCGCCGCCCACAAGCACGATCCGCTGCGCCGCCGCCACCTGGTCCGCGTGCTGCTGCAGGTACGCCACGCCGTCGCGCTTCTCGGTCCCGGGCACGGCCGAGGGCGGCACCATCTGCGTGCCCGTCACGAGCACCAGATACTCGTAGGGGATGCTGCGGACCGGCTCGCTCCCGGCAGCCCCCAACGATACAGGACGGTCTAGCTCGACGGCTGTGCGGGTCAGGCCCGTCGCCTTGGCCTGGACGACCGTGTTGTTGTGCACGCCGGGTGTCGCCGCAAAGGTGCCTGGATTGTAGGGGATGAACGCCTTCCTGGTGTCGACCTTGGCCGTCGCTGCGAACCGCGGGAACGCAAACAAGTGGTTGAAGTGCGAGTTCTTCTCAATGAGCACGACGCGGAACGTGTCACTCAAGGCCGCGGCCAACTGCTGGGCCACGTTGACGCCGACATAGCTTCCGCCAACGACGACAAGGTTCTTTGGGACGGACATTGTGGGTGGTGCTTTTGTTGATGTTGTGGCGAACCGAGACACGATGGGAAACACGAAAGAAAGGACGAGGACAACGAGCGACATAAAAAGGCATCCAATGGACGCCGTGGTGTGTCGCTTCATATACTCCTTGGACAGGAAGAGAATATACAGTTTCAGGGCACACTTTCCCGGCGCGTGGCGCAATTCGTATGTCCGAGGAACAAGCTCCTGCCAGCGAGTAGCTTAACCGTCGTCGATACTCTGCAAATATCGGACAGGATTGTGGGGGGTGCCTGGGGGAGGGGGGTGCAAGCTGTGCACTTTGCCCTTCTTTTGTAGCCCCATTTTTGCCCCTTTTTAATTGTCACGACTTTATCAGATCAGCCCTTCATAGGGAAATAAGGCAGGTGCTTCGGCCGCTTCGTCCGCTCCTGCCATCGTATCAACGAACAGCCGGTGTGGTCTCTGGCGGCAGGCACAAAGGCGGAAAGAGTGGGTCGGATATACGCTCCGGGGGCAATTGGGGAAAACGTCCCACCGCAGCGTGGTTCTAGGCAGGTGCGACCGTTTAGCCCCGTTCGGATATCTGTACTTAGCTCCGAGGTCTTTCCCTTTTGGAGCAGATCACGGACAGGCAGAAAAGCAGGAAGGCAGGAAGGCCGTGCAGGAAGGCCGTGCAGGAAGGCCAACAAGACGTATTCCTGATATGTGAGACAGTAATGTCAATATTCGGCCGACTGCACAGTGTCGTGGACGAGCCGCTATCAGAATTCGCGCAGAAGGCGTCGTTCGCCCAGTGCCGGATGGAGTAACAGCAATAGCAGGCTGCCAGCGAAATCCGGTCCATGTCCGAAAGAGGACTCGACTACAGTCGCTGTCTGTGATTTTACGGAATTAATTGGCTTATGTACGGTTCTGACATGAATGCAATGTAACTTTGTTACTTTCGCGAGACTGGTCCCGAACGCGGTGTGGACAAACAGATCCGTTGCTAGCAGATTGATAAGATGGTACGTCTGTAGACACTATGCTCCGCTACAGACATAATGTGAAAATGCACTAAAGCGTACGCCAAAACCGTTCCTGCCCATAAATATTTCTTATCGATAAGGTACGATAACGAGCGTGATAACAAAATATGTTTGAAATTCTTGGACGGAAACTACGACCGTCATGTTCATCGACCTGCACTTTGTGAAGATTGCGACGAAAATTGGAAGGACGAAACGACACATATATAAACAAACTTTAACTTGATACGATTCGCACCATATATCACTCTTTGGCTATCATATCCTCATTTTGGCCCCTATTTTGACCAAAGGTGGTCGACACAATCTCACGACGAATCTACATCATGATTGAGAGCACGGCATAAGGCGAAGTCGAGACGCCTTTCACTCTTTCGCCCTGCATAATAAAATTCACAAAATTACCCCTTTTGAAAACAACACACAACTATGCCAGCAGCAAAGAAATTCGTGCCGCGGCAGCGCAAGCACAAGGCCCGGGCGCGCGAGGCCCGGGAGGCCGACGAACGCGCCAATGCCGGTGACAGAACGGGCGACGGCTCGCGGACGCGGACGCGGGCCACCGACGTGGTGGACAGCAATGCCACCACCATCGTACCCGAAGAGCAGCGGGCCCGCAACGAGAAAAAGGCGCAGCTGCGTGCGGAGCTGCGTGCGGGCCAGGCCACGCAGATGAGCGCGAAAAAGGCGAAGCGGCTGGAAAAGTACATTGAGACAAAACTGCGCAAAGACGAGAGCCGCGCGCTCAACGAAAAACTGGCGGCACACAGCGTGGACCCGGCCATTTTCGAGAGCAGCCGGGACCTGGGCAAGGGCAAGAAGCGGCGGCGGGCCGAACAGGCGAAGCAGCGGAGTGTCGTTCGGCAAGGCGGGGATAGCGACGAAAGCGACAGTGATAATGAAGAGGAGGACGATGAGGAGAAGGACGTACCAATGGCCAAAATTGGGACCGGGGCGAGTGCAGCACCTGCTCCAGCACCAGCTCCAGCACTGTCGACCGGCAGCTCGCTGTTCGGCTCCGGATTTGCGGTTGGCTCGGGCCTCAAGCGACCGCTCGACCTCGACGACGACGGGCGGCCGATCCTCAAGAAGCGCAAGAAGCGCGGTGGCGTCAAGTCCAAATTCAACGTGGAAACGGTCAAGCAGCCGCAGCCGACTTTTACCATAACACGACGGGACAGAGAGAGCGAGGATGAGAGCGAGGACGACGGTGCAGCCATCGACCACAGTGGAGAGGAGTGGGGTGGACTGTCGGACGATGACAAGGAGACAAAGGGATACGAGGAGGAGGAGGATGGCGATGACGACGATGATGAGGAGAGTTCGCAGGACGAGGATGAAGACGACAGCGACGACGACGACGACGACGACGACAGCGAAGGCAGCTCGGACCCTGAAGAGACCCGTCCCTCAGCCTTCAAAGCTTGGGCGCAAGCACAGCGCAACGAGGCACTCGGTTTCAAAGGCGCCACGGGCGAGACGACCACGACGTACGAGTTCCCCGTCGTCCACGACTTCGAACCACGACCTGTCGAGGCCGAGCCACTGCCCGCCAGCCTGCAGCCCACCCAGCGCCTCGACCGCAGGGCTTTCCACGTGGACGTGTCTCGGACGCCCGAGGTCGAGAAGCAGCGCATGGAACTGCCCGTCGTCGCCGAGGAACAGCAGATCGTCGAGGCCATCCACGAGCACGACATTGTCATCCTGTCGGGCGGCACGGGCTCCGGCAAGACCACGCAGGTGCCGCAGTTCCTGTACGAGGCGGGTTTCGGCCACGCGGCGTCCGAGTACCCGGGCATGATCGGCGTGACGCAGCCGCGTCGTGTGGCGGCCGTCAGCATGGCGCGGCGCGTGGCCGAGGAGCTGGGCCCCGAGCACGGCAAGGCGGTGGCGTACCAGATCCGGTTCGAGAGCAGCGTGTCGAGCAGCACGGCGATCAAATTTATGACGGACGGCGTGCTGCTGCGCGAGCTGAGCGAGGACGTTGCGCTGCGCAGCTACTCGGCCGTGCTGATCGACGAGGCACACGAGCGCAGCATCAACACGGACGTGCTGATTGGCATTGTCAGCCGCGTCAACACGATCCGGGCCGAGATGAATGCGCGGCACGCCGACGACACCGACGACACGAGCACCAAGCCGCTGAAGCCACTGAAAATTGTCATCATGTCTGCCACGCTGCAGGTGGCCGACTTCGCCAAGAACCGCGCGCTCTTTGCGGAGCCCCCGCGCATGGTCCACGTCGAGGGCCGCCAGTACCCCGTGACGGTGCACTTTGCGCAGCACACGCACCACGACTACGTCGCGGAGGCCTTCCGCAAGATTGTGCGCGGCCACCGCAAGTTGCCGCCGGGCGGCTTCTTGGTGTTTTTGACGGGCGAAGACGAGATCCAGCGGCTGGCCAAGCAGCTGCGGCTGGCCATTGACGGCGTGCACACGGCCACGGGCCCCAAGGTGCGGCTGTCGACGTCGGAGATGGCGTACGAGACGGAGGACATTGAGTTTGGCGGCGGCCTGGGCGACGAGAACGGAAAAGACGCCAAGCATCTGGACGGCGAGGACGACGAGGAGGACGATTACGACAAAGACAACGAAGACGACGACGACGCCGATGACGACGACGGCGGCGAGGAGGAGTTTGTGCCGGACGAGGGCGAGACGGCAGGCTCTGGCCCCAAGAACGTACAGATCCTGCCGCTCTTCTCCAAGCTGTCCACCAAAGACCAGCAGCGCGTGTTCCAAGACGCGCCCGACGGCGCGCGGCAGATCATCCTGGCCACCAACATCGCCGAGACGAGTCTGACGATTCCGGGCGTGCGCTACGTCTTCGACTGCGGCCGCGCCAAGGCGCGCACGTTCAACAAGCAGACGGGCGTGCAGAGCTTCGAGGTGGGCTGGATCAGCAAGGCCAGCGCGAGCCAGCGCAGCGGTCGTGCCGGCCGCACGGGACCGGGCCACTGCTACCGGCTGTACTCGTCGGCCGTCTACGAGGAGAACTTTGCCGAGTTTGCCGAGCCCGAGATTCTGCGGATGCCCATTGAAGGCGTCGTGCTGCAGCTCAAGTCGATGCACGTGCCCAGCATCAGCGCGTTCCCGTTCCCGACGCCGCCGGACACGGGCAGCATCCTGCGCGCCGAGCGGCTGCTGATGTACCTCTCGGCGGCTAGCAAGACGGACGACGACGCCGCGGGCCGCCGCCGCGCGATTACGCCGCTGGGCCAGCTGATGAGCGCGTTTCCGCTGTCGCCGCGGTTTGCCAAGATCCTGATGGTCGGCCACCCGGGCGGCTGCATCCACTACGTGATTGCGCTGGTGGCGGCCCTGTCGGCGGACGAGGTGTTTGTGCGGCCCAACAATGCCATTCCCGCAGCGTCGGCGACGGCCAAGTCGCCGGCGGACAGGGAGGAGGACGGCGAGCATGCCGACAGCGACGCCGAGACGACGAAGCCCCGTGTTCGGACGCAAGAGGACATTCGGCAGGACGAGGCGCGCCGGCGGACGGCCGAGCTCTTCCGCAAGGTGCACCGGCAGTTCACGTCGCTCGACGACAAGTCGGACGCGCTCAAGCTGCTGCAGGTCGTGGGCGAGTTCTCGCACGAGCCGACGGAGGCCTGGTGCCGGGGCCACTTTGTGCACTACAAGGCGCTGCGCGAGGTCCAGAAGATGCGCCGCCAAATCACCAACCTGCTGCGCACCAACGTGCCCGTGCACGCCGCCGCCAACCTGACGTACCAGGAGCAGCTGCCGCGGCCGACGGACGTGCAGATCCGGCTGCTCAAGCAGATGGTCGCGGCCGGCTTTCCCGAGAACATTGCCCTGCGGGCCGATCTGTCGCCGAATCCGCCGCAGTACACCAACGCGGGCGGCGCTGTCCACAAGCCGCGCCGGGCCATCGAGGTGCCGTACCGCACGCTGTTCCCGGTGCCGTCCGATGGCGGTGCCAGCGGCGGGGGCCACGCGTCGCGGACCGAGTTTGTCTACATCCACCCGTCGTCGCCGCTCGCCCACATGACCGTCGCCGAGTGCCCGCAGTACGTTGTCTACTCGCACCTGCAGCGCACCGCGCCCAGCCCGGACATGGACGCGGCGGTGTCGCTGCCCAAGGTGCGCATGCGGGCGCTGACGGACATTTCGGGCCTCCAGCTGGCCAGCCTGCTCCAGGGGACGCCGCTGCTCGCGTACGGCAAGCCCATCAAGGAGACGTTCCGGTCCGACGACGGCCGCGAGCGCGAGTGCTGGGTGGTGCCGACGCTGCAGGCGGACGACGGCAGCGGCGTCGGCGGCATGGGCTGGCCGTTGCCGGCCATTAAAGTGCGGCAGCGCAAGGTGCCGGGGCAGGGCTGGGAGATGGTAGGGAAGTAGCACGCGGCCAGAGGCATCGACACGGAGGGCAGAAACGACGAAGCGCCTTGAAGAACGTAGAGAGTAAATGCATCACAGGAAATAAAACGCCAGAGCGACATTGTAAGAGCGTTTGACGAAATGCAACGCAGGTTCTATCCTATCCAAATGTATGGCCATGAATTCATGTTATGCTACCCACCCTGACGCCTTGCTAGAAAAGAACAACGAAAGACACAAGACACCCATTGTTCACACAGCCCTTGCCGCGCCGCTATGCCGCTGCTCCTTTGGACTTTCGCCGCTTTGGCTTGGGCGTGGCGGCCCCCGACTTTTGGGCCTCCTTGCCGTCTTTCGGCGTCGCCTTGCCGCTGCCTGTGCCGTCCTTGGTCGCGTCTGCCGCGTCCGCCGTTGCCTTTCCGCGCGCCGCCCCTGCTGCACCGCCGACGGCACTCCGTCCGCCGCCCGCCAGCGCAATGTGGAAGTCACCTGGCCGGCCGGAGATGGGCTGCTCGTCCATGTATTCGCCGCCGTACATCATGTGGATGGCGTACGACTCTTCGGCCAGCCGCGGATCGAGCATGTCGTCGTCCGCGTCGTCTTCGCTGTCCGCGTCGTCATGGGCGCCCTTGTCTCGGGTGGTCGTTTCCGTTTTGTCGACATCCATGGCATCTTCGTCTGAGTCGTCGTCCTCGTCGTCCTCCTCCTCGTCCTCCTCCTCGTCCTCCTCCTCGTCCTCCTCCACGCCCTGATCCTCGTCGTCTGGCTCGTCTCGCAACGCCTGATTCTCCACAAGCCCGTCTTCGCCCGCCGCCGCCGCCGCCGCCACCGCCTTGCCCGTCGTCTCGTAGTAGTGCCCCTCGGCCGGCGACCACGTCTGCATGCTGTTCATGGCCGGAAACGCCTTGCCCAGCGCGACGGCCATCGACGTGATGCGCGACGACAGCACGTCCGCCAGCGTCGGCGCCTGGTAGATGTTGTACCCGACCACAAAGTAGTCGGCGTACACCGTCAGGTCGTCCGGCTGCCCGTCGTTGCGCTTGCGCCGCAGCTGCTTGCGGATCACCCAGACGCCCGTGCCCGTCCCGGGCGCCATCTCGGCCGGCGCCTGGTGCACAATGTACTCGACGCCCGACATGCTGCGCAAGAAGTCCTCGAAGCGCTCGCGCGTCTCGAGCACGGGGAACATGTTGTGGTTGTGCAGCGCCTGGTTGTAGACAGTGTTGTTGTTGGACGTCTTGTCAAAGTAGGGCGAGCGCATAAAGTAGTAGAGCACCGAGTTGGAGTGGATGCCCTGCATCTCGTTGGCGGTCTCGGGCTCGCTCCATTGGAGCTCGTCGATCTTGAACGACATTGCGTGTGACGGTGTGTGGCCAGGGGGGGAAAAAATCACATAAAAGGGGAGGTCAGAGGGTGGGTGTGGCAGAGTGCAACGTGAGAAAATGAAGCAAAAAGAACTGTCGTCCTGCTTGGTGCGTCGCCAAAGCTGTTTAGGGGAGTTGCGGTCGTGCATTGGCGGGGAAGGCGCGCTGGAGCTCAAACGACGCTAATTTTTATGGTTATGTAATACACAGCCTTGCCGAACAAAAACGTCACCTCAACCTTTGGCCTTCATCCTTCGACAGCGTACAACATACCCATCACAACAAACACCCAGCGAATTCTCCATCGCCGCAATGGATCTCGTCGCGACCATCCGCAAGCAGGGCTCGCGTGGCGGCGTCAACTTTAGCTGGGACGACGTCGCCCAGTCCAGCCGCCGCGAACACTATCTCGGCCACAGCATCAAAGCACCCGTCGGCCGCTGGCAGCAAGGCCGCGATCTGACCTGGTACGCCAAAGAGGGCGAGGGCCAGGGTGACGACGGCGACGAACAAGGTGGCGAAGACGGCATCGATGCCGCCGCCGCGGCGCGGCGCGACGAGCTGCGGCGCGTCAAAGAGGCCGAGGAGGAGGCCATGGCCCGTGCGCTGGGCTTGCCACCCGGCACGCGACTCGGAGGCGGGCCCGGAGCAGCCGTAGGTCCAGCAGCAGGAACAGGCGCCAACTCGATTGCCGTGCCGGCCAACACGTCGCGCATGCCGCAGCCGCAGCCCGGTTCGTCGTCCGCCGATACAGACGGCAGAGACAGGCGGCGAGGCAGAGATCGACACGACAGAGACCGGCACGACAGGGGTGAACGCAGCCACCGCGGCAGACGGAGAGATCATAGCCGGCATGAGGCGCAGGACAGACGTGCGAGGCACGAGAAACACGAACACGATCGCCGTCCGAGACGAAGCAGGTCACGTGACCGTCATGACCGAGACGACAGAGCACCTAGAGACTCGCGAGACCGTGCAGATGGCAGGCCGAGGCGGCCTCGCAGCCGGAGTCGGAGTCGGAGCCGTACACGACGTCATGAGCAGAGGCATGATCGGAGTCGCAGTCCCAGAGACGGCGAGCGGCGGCGCCACCGCGACGACGACAGAAGAGACGAAAGAAGAGATCGAGACAGAAAATATCGCGACCAACGAACATAGCCGTTAGAGGACTTTGTGTAGGATAGATTGCATAGTTGCGAGAATATACCCAAGGCTCATTTGCGAGTCCGAGTAAAGAGAACAATATGTCAGATGGCAACGGCTGTATGTACAAGAAATAAAACAAGCCATACAAAAAGCAACACAAATTCAACGCAATGACACCTCTTGAGCCGACTTTGCAACAAATCAACAGGAAATTCCAAAAAAGACACCCCAGCAACCTCTCATGATCGAGTGTTTCACTCCCGTCTCTATGCCTGAAAACCTCCCAATACAAGACGGAGACGAAAAGACGGAAAAAACGCGCGCAGGAAAAGGCAGAATATTAATTATACATATGCACATGTTCCACCCGCAGCAGACACATCTACTGCTGCTCTTCCGTCGCTTCGGAGGCGGTGCCTTCTTCCGGCACGGCCTCCGGCACGGCTGGCGTGCCCTCGGCTGCCGCCTCGCCAGACGGCGCGCTGTCTGCGGCAATGCCGCCGCTGCCGCTCTGGGCCTTGTCGCGCCGCCTGCGCCGGGACTGCCGCTCGGCCTCGGCCGTCTGTCGCCGCGCTTTGCGGAGACTCTCGCGCTTCTCCTCGTCGAGGTCGTCGTCGTCGTCGCCCCGCATGCCCTGCAGCAAGAGCGCCGCACGCGCGGCCACGTCGTCCTCGTCGCCGCCACCACCGTCGCCGCTGCTGCCATCGGGCCGGGGCGAGCCCAGGACAGGGCTCAGCATGCTGCCGACACTCGGCGGGCCCTCGCCGCCCGACGTGGGCGACTCGAGACCGCCGCGCCCGCTCTGCAAGCTGGCCTCGGCTTCGGGGATCTCGTTGAGGTCGGGGATCTTTTGGCCCGACGCGATGCGCACCTGGTGGCGGTCCTTGAGGCGGGCGCGCCGCCGACGGTCGCGCTGGTCGCGCGTCTGCGGTGCCGCGGCGCGCAGCTTCTCCAGCAGACTGTCCATGGCGCCCGCACTGGACGGGCTGGGCAGCGCGCCGCCCTCGCCGCCGCCACCGATGCCGCCGCCGCCGCCGCCGCCGAGCTTGAGCTGTGCCGCGTGCTTGCGCTTCATGCTGGCCTCGTTGCGCCGGCGCGTCTCCTCGTACTGGATGTTCTTTTCGCGCGAGCGGCGCCATTCGCCAATAAATGCCGCCAGCTTCGCAAAGAAGTCGCGGCGCGCGTTCTCGTCGCGGCTGTCCTCGCCGTAGAACGCCATGATGTCGTCGTACGTACGGATCATCTCCTCCAGGTACAGCTCCATCTGCTCCGCCTTGCGGCGCGCCTCCTTCATGATCGGCAGCACCACCTGCGTGACGCGGTCCTGCGGGTGGAACTTCTTGGGGTCCGACAGGTTGCCGCTGTCAAACGCGCGCTGCACGCTGTTGATGTTGAGGACGTACTTTTTCGCGTCCGCCTGCAGCTGCTCAATGTTGATCTTCTGCGCCGTGACGACGCCCGAGATATCCGCCGCAAACGACTCCCACTCCGGGTACTGCTGCCGCACGATGCGCTCCACCAGATCCGCCAGCGTCGACTCGTTCTTGTCGTCCTTGACCATGCCCAGCCGCGCCAGCGAGCTGAGCTTGAAGCCGCGCGCCTGCTTGTTGGCGTCGTTCATGTAGTTGCCAATGTCCAGGATCAGCCCCAGCACGTTCATCAGCGACACCGAGTCGCGGATCGACTCCGACACCTCCATCACCTGCCGGATGCTCTCCATGATCTCGTCGTACTCGGGCTCGAAGCTGCGCGTCAGCGCCAGCGCCCGCATCCGCGTCTTCCAGTAGTGGTGCAGCTCGTACGCTGTCAGCAGATAGATCTGGTCCTGCCGTGTCAGCTCCGCCGGGTCCATCTCGCGCGTGTCCTCCGACACCTTGGGCCCCGTCCAGTCTTTGCTGTACGGTGCTAGCTGCTTGGCCACGTTGTCGGGGATGTTGCAGAGGTCGTCCTTTTGCAAAAAGTCCATCACCACCTGGTTGTCCAGCACCTCGCGGTCGCAGTGGATAATCATCTGCACCACCTTGTCGACCGACTGCTGCGAAAACTTGGCAAACGCAATCTCAAACGCCTTGCGCAGGTCGGTGGAAATAATCTGCTTCTTGTCGTCCTTCTTATTCGTACCCTGCCCCAGCAGCTTGATCTCCTTGGCCATGAACAGCTTCTCCACCTCGTCCAGGATGCCCTTGCGGCTCAGCTCCATGTACTTCTCCTCGCGCTCCTCCGCCGACGGCGCGTGCGCCGCCCAGTGCGTCGTCACCGTCTCGTCCACCTTCTCCCAGTGGAACGCCTTGAGCTTCTTCTTGGGCCGCACCACGGGCAGGCCAACCGTTGGCTGCACGGGCTCAAACGTGGGCTGCTTCGACAAGAAGTGACCCGACATGGAGCCTGGTGCAGGCATGGGGGGTGCCACCGGTGGCGGCGGAGGCATGCCACCAATCCCGCCAGCAGGAGGCGGTGGTGGAGGAGGTGGTGCGGTTGCGCCGTCCGCTGGTGGTGGCGCGCCCGGAAGGCGAATCCCGCCCGGTGGAGGAGGCGGCGGGGGCGGTGGCGGTGGGGGCGGAGCGCCCGGGAGCGCACCGCCAGGGGGAGGTGGAGGGGGTGGTGGGGGTGGTGGAGCACCGGGGAGCATGCCACCGGGAGGCGGTGGTGGCGGCGGCGGCGGTGGTGGTCCGCCTGCACGGTTGTTGGGCGACGCGCCAGTGATCTGGATCTTGGGCGCATCGCCGTCATGTGGCGTGATGGGCGACTGGGACTCGAGGCTGGGATGCGACGGCCCTGTCGTAACGCCGTCGCCGTCCTCTGAGTCGCTGCCGTCGTACCGCTTGACTTTGCCGACAATCTCGTTCAAGAGGCCGGTCTGCTGCTTCGAGTCCATGACAGGGCGGCGCATCTCGACAATGCGCGGCTTTTCGTAGATCACCTCGCCATCTTCCCCGGTACCTTCGTCGTCTTCGTCAAAGTGCGAACCGCCCGCGTTGGGAGGAACACCGCCGCCGCCGCCGCCGCCGCCAATGGGCTTGCGGCCAATCCTGGTCTGCCGGTTGACGCTGCCGAGCACGCTGTTGGTTGACATGGCGGCCGAACCGCCGCCGTCGACACCCAACAGGCTGCCAGGAATACCCTCGTCGCCGCCGTAGCCCTCCATCTCTTCGCGGAGGGCGCGCAGGCGATCGGACGGCCCGACGGCGTCGCCCCAGACGCGGCCTTCCAGCTTGAACTGGGTCTTTTGGCGCTCGATCTGCATCCGCAGGCGGTCCATGAGCTTCTCGCGGTCGAGGATGCCCTGCATGTGGACCGGGTCGTCGTCGGCCAGTTGGCTCTTGCTGACGGTGCCGCCCGTAGCGAGGACGGCGGCGGCGCCGGCTTTGGACTGGGCAGCGTTGGAGGCAGCGACGTCCTGGGCGTCGCGCAGCATGAGGTAGAGCTCGCGGGTCTCGAGCTCGTTGCGCTGGGCCTCCTTGGCGCGGAGGGTCTGGACGCTGTCGATTTCGGCCTTGAGGGCCTCGGCCTGGCGGCGCTGGGCGTCGATGAACCGGGTCTGCTCGTCCAGCTGGCGCTGCATCTTGGCGACCAGGCCGTCGGCGCCCAGCTCGAGCCGGCCGCGCATCTCGTCGCGCTCGGCCATGGCCGCCTCGGCAATCTGGCGCGCTTCCAGCGCTTCGTCGAGCGCCTGGCGGGCCTCGGAGTCCGTGTGCAGCTTGTCCAGCAGACTCTGGACGCTAAAGTTGAGGCTCTGCTTCAGGTCCATGTCCGGCAGGCGGCGGTCCATGGCGACGTAGCTCAGCATGGCGTCGACGAGCTGGAACATGCGCAGGCGCTCCTCGCCGTCGCTGTCGCGCATGAGCAGCAGGTGCTGCAGAGCAGAGACAAAGTAGTCCTGGGTGCGCGAGCCCTTGAGGCGGTTCTGGATGGCGTCGACAATCTGGACGGGGTCGTTGAGGTCCTTGAGGTCGCCCTCGACGTTGTCCTTGATGCTGCTGTTCTCGCGCTCCAGCATGTCCTCGTAGTCAATGGCCTCGTTGCTGCGGAAGCGCTCGACCTGCTTGTCGATGAGGTCGTACTGGAAGGCCTCCATCTTGGTGAGGACGCGCTTGATGCCGCAGGCAATGAACTGGGCGCGGATGTGCAGGCGCAGCTGCAGGTCGCGCTCGGGGGCGTCGACCAGCATGTTGATGAGCATGAGCGTGGCGACGGAGTACTCCATCAGCAGGTTCTCCATGCCGATGCCGCCGCTGCGGACCTCTTCGCTCGCACCGACCATGCTGCCCATCTTGCCGCGGCCGTCGACGGTGACCTCGATGATGCGCATCCAGGCGTCGAAGCGGCCCGTCTCGCCGTGGGCGCTCTTGACGTTGTCCATGGCCTGGATGACCTTGACGTGGCCGTTGCCGTTGTCCCAGTGGCACAGAAAGGTCAGGACCTCGCTGACCAGTTTCCGCGTGGACAGGCGCGGCGAGATGAGCGACATGGTCAGGGCCACGAGGACCTGCTGGTGGGCGAGGGCGTCGTCGGCGCCAAACATGTTGTTCATGAGGGCCTTGAGGCACTTGACCAAGTCGTACTCGCGGTCAAGCTCCTTTTCGCCGCGCGGCACGTCCGCGGGCGCGGCGGGCCCGCGGGCGCTCTTGCGGTTGAGCTTCAGCAGGACATTGGTGAGGGCGACCTGGCCCTGGCACTCGATGAAGCGCTTGACCCAGCCGATCTGCTGGGTGCGCAGGTTGACCTCGAGGCTGGCCAAGTTTTTGGCATCGAGGCTGTTCTCCATGATCTTGCGGACGTACCACTCCGGCGAGCCCTCCTCGTCCGAGTAGGTGGTGACGTCGACGTTCTGGTACTGGCCGGGGCGGGCGGTCTGGCGGCGGCGCTGCTCGCCCTGCCACTCACTCAGACGGTCCTGATAGATCAGCGTCCACTTCTTGAGGGGCGGGTAGGCGATCATCTGGCGGCGGGCCTGCTCGGGCAGGTTGAGCCAGCCGCGCTTCTGCATGAGGGCGAGGAACATTTGCTCAATGACCACGTCGTCTTCGGGTTTCGACAAATTAAAGCCATCGTGCGACGGCATCCCGGCAGACCCGGTGGCACCCCCCGGGCCCGAGGGAAACTTGCTCAGGCGATTGGACTCGCGGTGGGACGCATAGGAGCTTTGTGAGGAGGCGCTCGGCAGCGCGGAAAAGATGCTGGCGTGGTCGGTCGAGCTGCGGCCCCCGGATGTTGTCTGGTACGAGTTGTATCGCGAGTTGTGCGAGCCGCTCTGAAAGGCGGCGCTCTCTCGCGGCGGCCCCCATTGCTGCAGCTGGGTCTGGCGGCCGGTCGAGGCCATGGTGACGTTGCCGCCTTGCCCTGGCGGCGGCCGCGGCCCCGACAGCTGGCTGCTCGACAGGTGAGCCGCGCTGCCGGCGGCGGGTGCGGCGCCGTACATGGAGGCGGCCATGGCGGCAGCGGCCGTCGTGGAGGACGGGTCAAAGGATGGGTACTGGTGGAAGTCGCTCGTGGCTTTGTTGAGCTGGTGCGGCAGTGGTTCGCGGCCTGTGCTGGGGGGCTGGCCGTAGCTGCTGCCCGGGGGCGCGCCGTTCTTGGGGAGGTAGTCGACGGCGATGGGGGAGCGCCGGTCGGCGGTGACGTTTTCGTAGGGGATGGAGGTCATGACACCGGCCATCATATTGATGCCGGCTTCGGGGGAGGTGGGGCGGTCGAGGGAGATGACAGAGTCGCGGTTGTGGGAGTGGCGCGAGGTGCGGGAGCCGGTCTGGCCGGCGGCGTCAAAGTCGAGGGGGCCGAGGAACCTGCCTTCGTCGCCGTTTGTGTTGCGGCGGTCGGACTTGTGCTTGACGCGCGAGAAGAAGGACTTGCCGCCAGACGACTGTCTGGACTGTTTGTCGGACATGGCGGCTGTCTGGGGGAGGGCGTGTGTCTATGTGTCTCTGTGTCTCTCTGTGTTTGTGGCCCAGGCAGTGGAGCCTGTGTGATCGATGCTCGCTGCCTTGTTGCGGCTGCTCGATTTTTGCCGGTTCGTAGAGCGTTCAGCTGCTCTGTTGCGGCCGTCGTCACTGGATGCGGTGCTGTCTCAGGCGACGGGCGGATCGCATCATGGTCCCTTGGGGCGAGCAGGCGAGGGCCAGGGGTGGTTTCGGTCTGCATAAACAACGATTTAGCATGAGTTGACAGGGGCGGAGGAGTCGTCCAGACGGTGGCTTCTGGTCGAGATATGGAGTACGTCGTAGTCATCTTACATACCGTCCTGGCAGCCAGACGCCGTGCCGCAGGGTGTGTCTATCGTCTGCTTCTGGTCTGCTGGTCTGCCGGTGTCAATCTGTCGAGGCGGGTGGCCCAGGCAGTCGTCGTCGAGACGATGGCAAAAGTCGTGATGTTTCGAAACAGATAACAAATGCAGAAACGCACTCTTGGCTCCTCTGTCCGTCGCGTCGCCAGTCCGCCACGCTGCAGTCGGACAGGGTCGTCGCATACGTCGGGGGCGTTGTCTCCCCCCTTTCTCTTCGTTTGTCGTTTATCGTTTGTCTCTTGTCTGCTGGTCTTTCGCCCGTCGTCTTCTCGTCGATTGTCGTTGTTTGTTTTCTTCTCCTCGTTTGTTTTCTTTCGCCTTCGCCTTCGTCTCCTTGGCAGTCGTCGGCCGCAGAGTCGCCTGTGGTGTGCAAAAAAAAGTACAGAGTGCTGACAGTCGTTACGCCAGTCTTCTGTCTGCTCGGCCTCTCATGGCACGCCCTCCTGGGTTCGTTTCTGGCACGGTGTCTCGACGGGTGGAGGTGATGGGCTGAAACAGGATTAGCACATCTCAAACCCCTGACGTCCTGGCGGACCTGGCGTGCATCTTTTGCCTTTGGAGGGCAGTTACAGAGTGGCTCGAGTGGGTAGCAGCTTCTTCTTTCTGTCTCCTTCTTTCCCTTCTTTTCTTCTTTTCGTCTCTCTCGGTCTTTCCTTTTGCAGCGTTCGTCGTGCCTTCCCCCTGAACACGGGCCCATCAGGGGCGGTTTTCCGAACTGAGCAGCAGCTGCCCGTGCTTCGCGCTAGTCCTAAACAGGCCATACTTGCCGTTTCTACGCAAGCTGCATACAGTGTGAAGCAATGTGACGTCCCCTAGGCTATGGCAAGTCAGCTTGTGCAATGGCCCAGAATACCGGCACTACAGGGGCCCAGCCTCTCACAGGCCCTCCCCTGGACGGTTAAAAGTGCACGTTTGTAAGATAGCATGCAGCCCGCCCTGCATAAATAGCTGGGCTTGTGACACACTCTATCTGAAAAGGTTGCCGCAGCAAAGCGTGTTGATTACTTTGTGACGTTCGGTCTCTGTTACAATCGCACGTCAGTACGAAATACTCTGTCTAGAATTGTGCTTCGGCTTCGCAGACATCAATGGCCGTGAAATTGCGATGGTCTTTTTGCTGCGTTTGTCCCTCGCTAGAGACAGTGTTAATATACAAAGCCGGACACTGTTTTTACTGCGTTCTGTATGCCGTATCTTAGTGATGCTCGTATTAAGCGTAGTCGCGTAGCACCGTGGCGGGCCGGCAACACACCTATGCCTGCTGTTCTCGGGGTCGGTGACGCTGTAAAATTGCACCTAATCAAAGCTGCCCCCCAAATAGCACCAACATACCCCGCCAAAAGGGCCATACAGAGAATGCCCACCACCAATGATGGCCCCTTAACATACGATTATGAGAAGCAGTGGGCAGCGCTAGCTCTCAGCGCTAACGGCCAGGCTTTGGCTTTTGGATCAGCCGTTGGGCAGGCACACATTCCCCAGTATTTGGGATCGTCGTAAAAGGGGTCCGAAAGGGCGGGAAACACGACGGAGTACGGAGTATGGAGTACTGGACATCAATGTCGACGAAAAGGTTGAGAGGGAGGGTGACGAACAGCCAGATTCAGGGAGTCGTAAGTCGTACGGTCTTCAATACTCCAATTGGAGATCACGTGTCAATTCCAGACCAGCTTCCGCCCATTGTATATTGCTGTGTGTGCTGTGTGCGCTGCGTGCGGACCTCTGACCGTTCCGGCGATGACGGCATACATTGAGAGGTTCGTATTAATCTGCAAAAATTCAAAAGAAATTCACAACCGAAAAGAGTTCCGTGCTCTGTTGTTATACAGACGTTGGGACTCATTTGGTCCAAGTCAATATGGCCGGCCGTCTGAGGCTCACCTTCCAAAAGTGGCTTGTCAGTGGCTTATGTGCGGTCCGGATAGCCTACAGTGTAATTAGCTAGGCCACAGCGGTCCTGGCCTTGCCACAAAGCATCGTAAGATAATACTTCGTCTCGGATCGACTTCTGTCTCTGCGCCGACAACCTCAACTCGACCACGACGATAGCGTGTCGACCTCACACGGCCTTCAACGAAGAAGGGCTGCACCCAGGGGCATACTCGACAGGGGCTTCCCTTTCACGAATCTGCCAACCAAGACGCTTCCCCCTCCCCGGCGTCGTCTTTGACGGCATCCTCAGATCACTTGGCACCGCGTATATCTCGGGCGCCTTGCGCCTTGCGCATCCCGACTCGGTGTTTCGCCTTCCGGCTCCCGGCTTCTGGCGCTTCTACCTTCTGCCCGTTGACGAGTACATGTTGCCAAAATGGGTGCTACATTATCAGTCGTCAAGGTATGTGTCCGCGATCATGTCGACCACCCCATGCGTATGCCGTGTCTAACCTCTCCTCGTCTTCTGCAGACCCTCTTCCTTCCCGCCATCATCGCCCTCCTCGTCTTCGTCCTCTTCTCCTTTGTCATCGTCCCCATCTGGCAGCACTACCGCAACCGCTACAGCCACTACCTGCCCATCGACACTCTCTCGAGCCAGACGCTCTCGCTGCGCGACCGCATGCAGGCGTCTGTGAGCCACTTTTTCTCGCGAGCCACAACCACCACCTCGTGGCGCGACCGCGTAGCCGCCAACGGCGGCGACACCGGAATTGGGGGCCGTTTGCGCGGCCTCTTCGGTCGACGGAACAGCCCCAGTCGCGCGGGCGGCAGCCACAGCCGGGACAACAGCCTGCGCAGCGACGAGCTGCTGTCCGACGACGAGGAGCTGAGCCTCCACCTGCACGACCCGGCGCGCGGCATTGAGCTCGGCGAGGTCGGCGAGGAGCTCGGCACGATGCGGGCCAACAGCGGCGCGGGCCGCCGGCAACACGAGCTGCCACGAGGCGGTGCGGCCGTCTACGATGCGCCACGACTCAGCAGAGAGTAGGTTGACCCTCTTGTGGGTCTCACGTTGCGAAGAGGGTCTCTCGTTGTGTATACCGAATGCGTGTGTACCTACTAACGCGTACAGGCTGGAACAGGGCTTCATGGACGACAGCGACGATGACGAGCCGCCGAGGCGATAGGCCTTTGTGGGCAGTGGCAGAACGGGGAGAGGCCCCGAGACGTCTCTTTTGTATTATTTCCCTTGCTGTTTGTTTGCTGTATCACCACGCCCCCCGACATATATTTGGACAAGCATTTTCAGCCATTCCAGCGACTGTAGTTTTAACTGGGCGGGGTTACCTGATTTCAAAGTTTAGACGTTCTTCTATTGCATGCATACCTTTACTCATCATCAGAAACATGTGCAGGCCGTGCCGTAAAGCAAGCCATATATGAGAGACAATGCTGACGTTTGCACTAAACATAACGCAAAAACACAGGCAGCCCAGAGGCGAGATGTAGAACGGCTGCAAATGGCATAGCGTGAGACCATGAAAAAAGGCGATTGTTTTGGACCACAAGCAGAATAGTACGACTTACACCTGGGAACAAAATGGACGGCGGCCTGAGGTGCAACAAACGAAACTCGATACGGCAACGCACCAGCACGAACACATGCACCGCACACCCAGGCGCATCCCTGCAGGCCTGCATTCATCGTGTCCGCATCTCTATCTTTGACTCAACGGGACACGGCAGCCTGTTGCTTCCACACACTTCCTTCCTGGCGTGTGTCTGTTACGGCGCACTCTGACTGGCCGTCGTTCCTCCCCCCAACAAAGCAAGCAGCTCTCTCGTCAAATCACGCACATTTGTGTGCATGCCAGCTGAGGGGGTTCTTTGCTCGCACCTCCCGTTAGGCAGACGCGCCTTGTGTGGGCAGAATCGCGCAGGCAGTCCTACAAGGCGACAGACGGGCACGGCGATGGTCGCCGGTCGGCGTCCGGTCCAGGACTTGAAAATTCTCAAAAATAGGAAACTAAAATAAAAGCTACACTGGGAAGACGGATAGGGCGCGTGGTGCGATACGAACATTGCATCTCGTACTCGGTCGAAGAGCCACAGCCGTGGGCGTTGCGACAAGGCTGACAACTGCGCAGATAAGTGGGTGGTGCCTGCCCCGGTCGACTCAAGCGGCCAGACTCGTAGCTTCCCCGATTCCGTCCGTCGTATCATCTGCTCTTTCCTACTTTATTGTCATTCCTTCTGTCTCTTTAATCCCTCCAACTCTTCTTTCTCTTGTGTTCCTCCTTTCCTCATTTTCCTCATACACATAGCGTACGGAATCACAATCTTCCCCCGTTTCGACACACACGTGTGGTGCTCCACACCACCTGTGTACAAGGCTTTCCGCAAGACAAGCTCTGCCACGACAGGTCCTTGTGCTCCCATTCCGGCGGTCGCATAATTGAGCTTCGCCCCTCCCCGGCGCCGCGTTACTTTTACTCCCGTCTCTCGTTGCGCTGCCCGATACTTTACATTCTAGCCTGGCCGTTGGCTCCATATCTCAAGCCCTGTGGGTAACCATCGACTAGTCGACTTACACGTCTTAACGTCGACCAGGTCTAACGACGACACGAGAAAAGACGGCATCAATGCTGTCTACCACCGATCTACTCGCATCTCCACACCATAGCTACATCTACATCTACAGCTCTCAAACCACATATACGTCTACACAAAATGCCTACATTCAGCCACATACGCAACCGCTACGGTACGCTGCCAAAGCTGCATGCCAAGGGCGGTAGCTCACGCGGCGACCTCAGAGCCAACCAACCAAAGCCACGACAGTCAGAGGACACTCCCACGCCGACTGAACCTTGTCCCATTTGCCTCGAGGTTGTTGGCTTGCCCGCCGTCGATGGCTCTGTCGAGTCATGGTCGATTCTTCCATGCGGTCACCGTTTCGGCAGTTACTGCGTAAAGGCCTGGCTTGGCACCGGCCCAAGTCCTTCCTGTCCTTATTGCAAAAGCCCGATGCTGCATAGCTGTGGCCACCCGACTTTGCCCCGACGTACGCGCCCTCCAGTGTCAGACCCGACCGACATTCAGATAGGTGATGACCGAGTTCCGGGCAGCCCAAAGCCTAGAGCGCCTGTTGTTGAGCAGGAAGCACCACACGTACAGGAAGTCGATGAGGCCCTGCCCCTTGGCCAGGCCAATGAGCCTCACAGCATCGACAACGAGAGCGACAACAAGGCCATCGACCGGAACAATGCAGACGACAACCAGGAGGGTCAGGGGCCAGGCCAAGCGGAAGCAAAGAACGACGCTCGAGTTGCTGCTCAGCATGTCCCGTCGTCTCCGGGTGGCATCCAACGACCCCCTCCAGACGAACCCGGTCCGGACAACAACGACGAAGCGGACGTCGTGCAAGAGCCAGTGGCGGCACCAGAGGCAGAGAATATCGCACCACCCGCAATTGTGGCTGCACCTCAGCAACAACATGTACCAACACTCGCTGTCGAGGTTGCACCAGCTGAACCTGATGCAGCACAACCAGCTCAGCAACCCGAAGCGCAGCCGACACCACCGGCTGCAGCCCCGGTTGTTGCACCGGACGAACCCTTCTCATTGGTCGAGTTCGATGACTATGATCTCATGGTCCGGATTATCCGCAGGAGTCCAAATCGGATGCCAATGTTCATGACCATGGCCTATCCAGAGACTGTGAATCTGGAAATTCCGTGTGCCTTCTGTTACATGGGAATCGAATATAATCGCCACCTTCTCAGGCTGAGGGTTCATGACATGGACCCTCGTGACCGCCCGAGTCGAATTCCCGGCAAGAAACTCGTCGTCACGGGTGCGAAGCACTTGACGCACCACAGCCACACTGCGTATCGCGCGATCCGCGCGCATATCGGCAACAATCGACACAGATACGCACAGCCCACCGCGGACGAGAAACAGACAGTTGATGCGTACGTGGAGGCGTGCAAAGAGGCACACGACATGGACTTTGGGCCGTGGTGGGCACAACAACCACCAAAGTCCGATCCAGCCATGGATGTGCCGCAAAACAACCCTAGTATTTGGGGACAACACTAAGCCCTATGTCCTCGTTTGATTCTTTTTTATTTTGCTTGGCGCGTGTTTATTCCAATGCTTTGAGCTTTCTTTTACCTTTTCGTTTTCTTGTTCATTTTTTGCAGTAGCAAAATCTTGGCTCTCCTTTTATTATTTCCTTTTTTTTCCTTTTTTTTTTCAAGTTGCGTACCACTTTTCAAGTTGAGCAGACATATATCTTTCTAATACGGCTTTTTATTATCATTTATTTCATCAGCGAATATATATATATATCTCTCTTCAAAAAAACGACTTTTCGGTTTGTTTTACTTTGTGACATCAAATTGCAAGCCTCGCTCGACACAGCTTGATGCCTTGACATGAGGCTTCCCAGCTTTCTCTGTGGGGCATGGCTAGACAGCGCTTCCTAACAAGGTAATTTGCTTGTTAGTGGTCCATTCCTGCGTTGAAGACGCCCTGGACAGATTCGCCCCGCATTTCCCAGCGTGCTCCATTGTCGCGACATTTTTCCAACGCGTCCGACTCGCTTCGAGGCTCTCGGTCGGACAGCAGATACGATACAGCGACGCCGCATCGACAGCCCCTGTGCCCCCGACATCAGCTGCCTTGCCGACACGATGAAGTTCAGGGCGGAGCTGCGGAACATCCGGACGTTTACAAGTGAGTTCCCGTGCTGAACCCACCCCTTGCCTCCAGCTGTCTCGTCCTTTCCACCTAACCTCGCCAGAACTGGTCGCCGCCCTCAGTGCTCTCGACAAGATCGTCTGGGTCCACCTGGAGGATGATCTGGTCCGCTTTATTGTGATCCCGGACCGGGGGTCACAGGTCTGGTCGACGTTTGCGCGCGACTTCTTCTTTGACCCGGACGCCCATTTCTTGCTGCAGTCGCTCAACGCCGGCAACGCCATCGACCTCGAGATTACGCTCGCGTCCCTACAGCGCGCCCTGCGGTCGGCGCTCAACAGCACCGACGCCGTGCTGCGGCTCACCAAGCGCGACAATGTGCCGACGCTGTCCATGACGATCCATACCGTGACCAACCCGCGCGGGCTCGGCGCCTTTGGGTTTGGGCCGATTGGCCAGGGCGGCGGCGGCGGCGGCGGCGGTGCGTCTGGTGCACACCAGCGTTTCCGGGAGAGCACGTTTGGCAGCACCTTTGACGACGCCGCCACCAGCGGGCGCGACGAGACACTGGACCTGCTGGCCAAGCGCGAGCGCGAAAAGGTCGTGGTGCAGGACATGCCGGTGCGGGTGATTTCGCCGCAGGCCATGAACAACGTCATCGAACCTGCGGTGCCCGAGTCCGACGTCAACATTGTGCTGCCACCGCTCCTGCAGCTCAAGGCCGTCTCGGACCGCTTCACGAAGCTGGCACACACGACATCGGGCGGCGGCGGCGGCGGCAGCAGCAGTGGTCTTGGGCTGGCGCCTGTCGCATTCTCGTCTACGGCTGGTGGTGGTGGTGGTGGTGGTGGCGGAATGAGCAACAACACCGGCGGCGGCGGCGGTGCCGGACCGAAACTGGAGATCAGCGCCAACATGTACGGCATGCTGCGGCTGCGGCTTGTGACGGACACGCTCAGCGTCGAGACGGTGTGGAACGACCTCGAAAACCCGCGGATGAACGAGGACGCGCTGCCGGTGCCGCTCGAAGAGCACCCCAGCACACGGTACCGCGAGGCCGGGCCGGACAAGTTTGCGACGGTGCGCGTGGACGGCCGCGACTGGAGCCGGGTGCTGAGCGTGGGCCGCCTGGACGGGCGCGTGATTGCGTGCGTGGTGGACGGCACGGCGCTGATCCTGCACGTGTACGTGTCACAGCCAGACGACCCAGACGACCCAGACGAGGCGAGCTCGATTACGGTACGTTTTGTTGCGCCCTCGACGGTCCTCGCATCATGCGAACGGGACCATTGTCTTTGCTAACCAACGCGTGTTTCCAGTACTACGTGTCGTCGTACAGCACATGATGCGAGGGACGACTGCATTTGCGTTATTGAGGCGTTGGGACGGCGAGGGAATTTGTCTGGTTCTATAGGAGTTCGAACTGGCGTTGACATGATTTCAATGGGGAATACTTTTCAACAAACCAAATGGCATTTCAAGATATAAACGGCCACTGTAGCGACGGTCCAAACTACGCAGTTCAGTATTTCTGCGTTTTGTGAGCGTTTCTCCCGTTTCTCCGTAACTGCCTCACATAAACAGACGAGAGACGGAACGGACTTGCCAAGTGCTGCTTCCTTGCCCGGCCGCTACTGCCCCGAACCAGGGCGACAACGGCCGGCAGGTGGTACAGATCCACTTTTCCCCACATCGTCCTTGTGTCTCTCCATTTTGTTGTCAAGTCTCTCTCTTCAAGCTCAACCTTCACCACTACCGCCTTATGCCCTTATGCCCACGATATGCAGGCACAACTAGCTCGCGGGACTGGCCTGATTTGGCGTCGACCCGCCTGCTCGACGGCCTTCACAGGCTACCAGCGATGGAGTATAATTTAGCCGCCAATCAGATCACCTCTGAGACACGGCGCTCCTAGGAAAACAACAGAATGACACCAAAGAAGACGGGAGATGGGGACGACAAACGAGCTCCCCCGATCTGGAATGATCCACAAGAAACCCCAACTCTGCCGGGTAATGTGCAAAGCGTCTACAGGTCATGGCTGGCACATAAATCCCACACGCCGGGATATGTCGTCGAGCGAGATATGGCATTAATGTGAAATGTCTGTTGTCTTTTTGTCTTTTACCTTTTGCCTTTTTGCGACTTCTGCAAACTTCTTAGGCAACTTACATTCTCACTCTGCCGTGTGTTTCAGTTCTGCTCTGTCTATCCCGCCACAACGTCCACATCCGTTTTCGGGACACGGTACACCGGTGGGATCGTTCTCGAAACGGCTGTAAAGCCGTGTTGCCTGTGACTCTGTCTCTCGCCCCATTAACTTGTCCACTTGCCGTGAACCCTCGACGTCTCCGCCAAGTCTCGTCTCGTCTTGTCCGTCTCCCTCTCCTCTCAAACCACCGTTGCTGTGTACTTGTCACACCCCTCATTTCTCCTCCACAATGTCGCAGACCGGCCTCGTCCTCGGCTACAATGCCATCCACCCTTTTGGCCAGGTTGACCTGAGCAAAGGCGACCGCGCCTCCGTCCAAGCGCTGCTGCGCGCCCTGCTCGATCCGCTGGAGCCGTTTTTCTCGCCCACCAAAGCCCGCATCCGCTGTCCCGGCGGCACGGCCGTCCGCTTCGACCAGACTGCGTCCGAGGTGGAGGGCTTCAGCCGCCCGCTCTGGGGACTTGCGTGTCTGCTTGCCGGCGGCGGCGACTACCGCGGCACGCAGTGGTGGGTCGACGGCCTGAAAGCCGGCACGGACCCGGAGAGCCCCGAGTTCTGGGGGTTCGCGCACGACAACGACCAGCGCATGGTTGAGATGTGTCCGCTGGGCTTTGCGCTGGCGGTGGCGCCCGTGTTCTGGAACGCGTTGGACGCCCGCGCGCGTGCCAACCTGGAAGCCTGGCTCGGCCATTCGGTCAACGAGAAGACCATGCCCGACACCAACTGGCTGTGGTTCCGCGTGTTTGCCAACCTCGGCCTCAAGACGAACGGCGGCGCGTTCTCGCAGGCGCGCCTCGAGAGCGACATCCGCCACCTCGACACCTTTTACCGCGGCGGCGGCTGGTCCAACGACGGGCCCGGCGACGTCCACCAGATGGACTACTACTCGTCGTCGTTTGCCATACAATTTTTGCAGCTGCTGTACGCCAAGCTTGCCGGCGACGACGATCCGGAGCACGCGGCCGAGTTCAAGCGGCGCGCGCAAGAGTGCGCCCTCGACCTGGCCCATTACTACGACGCCGAGGGGCGATCGATTCCCTTTGGCCGCAGCGTGGGCTACCGCTTCGCCATGGTGTCCTTTTGGGGTGCGTTGGCGTACGCCGACGTCGAGCTGCCGGCGCCGCTGACGTGGGGCAAGGTCAAGGGCATCGTCCTGCGGCATCTGCGGTACTGGCAGACGCAAAACGACATGTGGAGTTCGTCGGGCACGCTGACTGTTGGGTACTCGTATCCCAACATGTATGTACGTGGCCTCTATTTGTCCTCCTTTTGTCCTCCATTTGTCCTCCACTTGTCCGCCATGGTTATGGTCATGTGTGAGATTCTGTCCTAACTATTCATAGATAGCCGAAAATTACAACAGCCCGGGCAGTCCGGTACGTTCTTCCCCCGAAACGTGTCCCTTTACCAGCATACCCCACTAACAGTGTAGTACTGGGCGTGCCTTGCGTTCATCTGCCTTGCCGTCCCCGAGACACACCCGTTCTGGACGTCGGCCGAGGAGGACCACTGGCCTTCGCTGCCGCTCGTCAAGCCGCTGGTCCACCCGGGTCACATTATGAGCAACCACGGCGGCCACTGCATGCTGCTCTCGTCGGGCCAGGCCTGCAGCTACCCCATGAAGGGCACCCACGCCAAGTACGGCGGCTTCGCCTACAGCAGCGCGTTCGGCTACTCCGTGCCGCCCGGTCTGTTTACCCTCGAACAATACGCCCTGGCCTCCCAACTCGGCTTCTCCGACGATGGTGGCGAGTACTGGAAGACGCGCCGGCTGTCGTCGTATGCGGCCATTGAGACCCGCGACGACGGGCCCGTGCTGGTCTCCGTGTGGGCGCCGTTTTCCGATGTCACGGTGCGCACCATTCTCGTGCCGCCCACCGACGCCGCACCCAACTGGCACCTCCGCATCCACCGCATTGCCGTTAAAGCAGGCCCGGCCGACCGCGCCATCATGACGGCCGACGGTGCCTTTGCGATCCACAACGAAAACGCCCAGGACGGCCGCTACCTGGGCTTGTACGACGCCGCTACGGGCGAGGGCACCCGGCCGAAGATTGTCGGCAACTACGACACTCTGACGCCCGACGGCTGGGCCCGCGGCCACGAGGGCGCCTTTGCCGTCTGCCGCGACGCCGGTGCGGTCGGGATTCGCGCGCTGGAGGCCGCCAGCGCAACGGGCGCCAAG